TTTAAATAAGAGAACTACTAAAATACCCCAAAATAACAATTTAAATGACAATGTCCGTTGAAAATTTTTACGGAGGGGGATTTTTTGTTAAGATTTCATTATCTAGGGGGAAAATATTTTACTTTTCAAATATTAGAGCCTAAATTGTTACAAGAAGTATAATTCAGGGGGAGTTTTTAAAATTAATATGTCTTTAGTTTCACTATATTAAAATTCAACAAATTTCCTGAAATTATTTGAACAGTTGATTTGTATGATGTGGCATATCACCTTGGGAGAAAGATACCGAGCTTGTGGAGAGGCCATCTGGTTTTTGCCGGCATGGACGAATTCGTTTTTGCACTTGAACACACCACTAATTCTCATAGGGGAGAGAAACTATTATAGTCAACCAAACAATGTTTTAATTTCTTGCTTTGGAGCACAAAAAATGTGTTGAGATCTTGGATTTTCTATTTTTTTTGTTTGGTTTTACGTTAGTAATTGAGATTTGTCTCTGCTTATAATAACAAGGACTTGATAGATGTTGATATGAAGTCGAAGCATGCAGTAGCGGCAAAATTTTTGTATTTCGAGTATGAGCAGGCTTCATAAATCATAATAACTTATATTTAATAAATAAATAAATAATAATAAAAATAATAAATAATAAAGATTAATTACAATTTTTTTTTTAATTTATACTCCTTGTAATACTTCGTTCTCTGATATTTAAAACGTAACATTTATTCCCCCTAAATAATAGACTGTTAACAAAAAGCCCATCAACTAAGTTCTTAACTAAAATTATTGTTTATTTATTATTTTGAGAATATTTTGATAATTTTGTGGTTTAAAATTTAATTTGAATTAAAACTAGTTTAAATATTAAAAAAACTTCATAAATTTTTTTATTTTACTAAAAAAATTTATGAAATTTTTAACTTACATTCAATCAATAAAACATGTATCATAATTAAAAGTTCAAATTTAAATTAGTTTTAAATTCAAACTAAATTTTAAACAGGAGAACTACTAAAATACCCTAAAATAATAATTTAAATGACAATGTCCGTTGAAAAATTTTATAGAGGGGGAATTTTTGTTAAGTTTTCATTATCTACGGGAAAATATGTTACGTTTCAAAGATTAAAGAACAAAGTGTTATAAGTGGTATAATTCAGGATGAGGTTTTATAATTAATATGTCTATATTTCCACCAAATTACAATTCCATAAATTCCCTAAAACGTATTTGAACGGTTGATTTGTATGATGTGGCATATTATATCATTTAAATAAGATCTAATGGTGAGCATTTGACAAGGACATCCGAGGGTATTGTATTATTCTTTGGGATATTTACATTTTCATACCCTATTTGTATGTTAATTTAAAAAGTATACTTTTATTTTTCAATCTCATCAAATACATACTTTTACGCCTTTATTATTCCTTAAGAAGAAATACACATATAAAATCACAAGGTTTTATGAAGTTATATGATTGATAAGTTGAAGCTAAAGGTATCGAATTGATATATCTCCAGGAAGACTTCCAGTTCCAGTTACTAAAACATAGAAGAGAAGCAGGTCTCCGACTCCTAGGAATTAGGAGAATGGAACTTTTTAAGGTAATAAAGTAACATACATGATGCAAAATACACACATACATATATAATCTCTTTACAAGTTTAAGCTAATCTTATATCTAATGTAAAACAACTGACATAAACAAAGATTATGGTTAACTTCTTCAACACACTCGTCTCAGATATTTGCTCCAACACAATCATTGTAAAGAAACAAACAAGCAAGAAGGACGACATTGATACTAATGATTTGTGCAAAGCAAAGACGAAAACAAGAAGAACATTGATATTAAATTAAAGTTGTGGGTTTTTCTTTTATTTATTTTTTATTTATTTAGGATTAAGGATTTGTTGTTGTTGTGTGTTTTATGGAAACAAGGTTGCTAAGAATCTAATGAAAATGCTCAAAATCAAAGAGATTGCAAAAGGAAAAGATTCTAGTAAATGAAAGAGAAAAAATAGAAATAACTTAATTACTTGATGTTAACACTGCCGCTGAAGTTGTAACGAGTGACGTTGCGCTTGACCCAATCCTGGGCGCACTTGAAGGAGTTCAAGGCGGAGAGCTGGTCATCGGGAATGGCGACCATGACCTCGATTCCGGAGCCAACGAGTGCGGTCATGGTCGAGTGATCCGTGTCGAATAGCTTCACTTTCTGAATCCCATTGTCCTTGAGCATCTGCACCACCGTCTTCGTGTGCGTCACCTGCGTTCCCCAATTCACTCCATGAGAATGACATCCACACCAACAAAATCAATGGCAACAAGATTACTTTATGCTTAATTCTTACTTTTCTCGGTCAATAGTTAATTTTGACCATGAGAAATGCCCTTAATTAAAGAAGATATATGAATAAGAATAGAGATATGAATTCAGTACGAATTTTAGATGTGAAGGTATATAATTGATATAGTCCTAAACGCTTTTTTGATAGGCTTAAAATGGCAGGGCATTGAAAACTACTACTACACATGAATATACCTTCCTTCTTGGAACAGCATAGCAAATCAAGCCAATGGCCTTTTCACTTGGTTTCAGCCTAACTTGTTGCATGCTGATATCAACAGATTCACGAACCTGGATATGATGTGTTAAACACTAATTAGTTAAACCGCGTAAAAAATTCAAATAACAATACATGCTTTTTTTAGTATTAATTAATGAGAAACTCAAATCTTACCTTATAAGGAGCTGATGATATAGATATCATACACCATCCAAGATTTAGCTAGCTTATGAAATAAACATACATCCATTTTTTTGCTTCATATCCCAAACCAGAAGCAATAACATTTTTGACGACCCTGTACGTAACACATTTATTATCATCATTATAATATAATTTCAGTTAAGACGGTTACCCAACCCTACTAAAGAAAATGGCTGTTTATATATTTTTTACATTTATTTTGAGGTCATTCAGAGCAAAACTTTTTTATTTTAATCCGTCTCACATTTATATCTTCATATTCATCCAAAATCTTAATTCAATGGTTAATTTTGACTATACAAAGACAAAAATGTCCTTAAAAAATAAAACACTTTAAAAAGAATTTCAGAAGTTGTTCTTTTATATTTATGTACCATGTATTTCAATGTATTGAAAAATCATGCAATGCATTTTGGAATTTTGCAAATTTTAGAGTTGAAAAAATATGCTGCACAACAAGCCCGACGTAGACTACCAATCTATTCTTTTTTTTCAAATTAATTATTCGTAATACCAATACCTGATTTGCCGTTTAATATATTTTCATTTTATTGAGTATCATTGAACGGTACTTGTCTTTGTATTGGTTTTACTTTTTAGTTGGACCTTTTAATTTTAATACTCTGTCTAAGATGCTTTGACTTTCATTTTTTAGGGAGTTTTATTTCTTATTTTGGTATTAAATGACAAATGAATTAAGATATTTACATCACTAACCCAATAATTTTTCCGTATTGTTAGTTCATGATAAACATCTGGCCATAGAATTGTGATAATAATTTTTCTAATGTGCTATTATTCATGATTTTGAGGATATTAAAAATTGATTTAAGCAACATCTGGCCATAGAATTGTGATAATAAAACGAAAGAAAAAAAAAAAGCCGAAATATGGTCATAAATGGGCAGGCTAGTACTCAATTGCAGGCCATGCCGGCTTTTTACTATGTAAATTTGTTTCTTTTTTTCTTTTTTGTTTTCCTTTGAGGAGTAAATTTGGTTTTAGAAAAAAAAAAAAAAGAGAAAAACAGCAAGACTAATTCTAACAAACTATATAATATTTATGTTTATCTTATCCGTAAGAGAGAAGGAAAAAAGACATTAAAGATAGTAAATAGGCTTTATATTTTCTAAAGAAAGGGACAGAGAGGAGAAGAAATCAATGGATGTATATCTTTTTGTATATATATGTTAATTGATAATTAATGGCAAGCAATTTTTAGTAGTATAATTGATTGATGTGTAGACACTTACTAAGATGTTACGGAATTATTATTTGTTTGTTAAAAGAAATCTTATGCTTATTTGCATCTATAAATATATGTAATGTTTTTTGCTTTATTTTCTGTTGATAACTTAAATATAATTAGCGTAGACGTGTTGTAAATAGTATTTGAAGTGAAGAGAGAGCCGCTGGAGGCCGGAGCAGGGAGGGACGTTTGCTAGTTGTTAATTTCTTTTCTTTTTCTTTTTCTTTTTTGAAAAAGAAAAAAAAATGGGAGAAGAGAGACCCATGAAGGAAAATTTATTAAAAATTGGGTTGTTGAGATGAGAAGCTCCAAAAGAAGATATATTAAAAATTAAAAAGAAAAAAAGGTAATTTTCACGGATTATCTCTAACCTCTTTAGTACGTGATAATTTAGTCTTTATTTTTTTAATTTTAATAAAATGATCATCAACTTCATTAAATTGGTGAAATTAAATCATTTTTGTTTAACTCCGTCAAATTTTAAACCGTTTTATACATGTGACCTTCATACATGTTATTTTTATCGTCAAGTTATTGAAATATTCTCCGTATAAATCAACTCACTAAAGTTATTGAAATATTCTCCGTATAAATCAACTCACTATTTTTTAATGAACGAAGTACAAACAACTTTAAATTATTTTTAATGAAATAATTTTGTTAATTTAGTTCAATCAAGTGATAGTATCATGTGCAAGGCAAAATATCCTTGTGTTGGTATTTTACTAAAATATCATCTTTTTTAAGATTACATACTTTATACATGATTAATTTTAATTTAACATAACTAAATGAAAAGGACTTAATTGTATTCATTTAATAACGTTAGGAATTATTTTATTAAAATTAAAAAAATAAAGACTAAATGATCATTTATTAAAAAAATTAAGGACCATCTGTATCAATTTTTTTTTTCTTTTTAAAAAAGAAGTTGAGACTGGGACGGAGAGAAATAAAAATAAAAAAAAAAAAAAAGGAAAAAGAAAAAGAAGATGGGCATTTAGAACAGTCTCGTGAGTCTCGCAGTTCTCTCTCTCTTCAGGTTGTTTTGTTGTGGACATGAATTGATCTTCTTCTTCTTCACACTTTCTGAGATCTCTGTTTCTCCCTCATTTTCAAGGTAATATTTCTTCTTTTTTCCATTTTCTCTCTCTCTCGCTCTCTCTTCTTTTTTTTTTTTGGTCGTCAGTTTTCAAAAAATATCTTTCGATTTGTTCGTCTTAATGATTTAGCTAGTTAGCTAGCTCGATCTACTTGCATTTCATTTTTTGGATTTTCTTTCATTTTTTTTTTTTTGGCTCTGAAACAAAAATGTAAATAAAAGAGTTGTTTTGTGATAAATCTGGAGTGTTGTTGTTGTTGTTGGTAGAGAAATTTGAAAAAGGGAATTTGTTCGTCGTCAATGGCTCGAAGCAGTAGTGCTAATAATAATAATAGGTCGTCGTTTAGCCCAACAAATGGGAATGGGAATGGGAACGGGAACGGGAATGGGAATGTGGGGAATGAGGATTCCATTAATGTTTCAAATGGAAATGGTGGAGAAGGAGATGACTACGAGGACTCCTCTTACTCTATTGATAGTGATTCCTCCCATTTGGCCCCTCCGTAAGCTCCTTCTAACTTTACTACCAACAACAAACATTTTCATTTTCATTTTCATTTTCAATTTGTTGTCATATTGTCTCTCTTTTGCAAACCAGACCTATAAAATAACCAATTTCTCCTGCAGTACTCCGACGTCGCTGTCGATGGCCATTCCGGCGGAGCTCGCCGGCGCCATCCCTTTGATCGAGCGATTTCAGGTTGAGGCATTTCTAAGACTAATGCACAAACAGATTCAGTCTTCTGCCAAACGCGGCTTCTTCTCCAAAAAATCCGCCGGACCTCAAATCGGTGACAAGTTCACCTTTGAGGATATGTTGTGCTTCCAGAAGGTCCTTTCCTTTCCTTTTTCTTTCTTACATTTTGCAAGATTTTGGCGCATTTTATGTTTCTTAATGAATCAAATTTCATAACTCTAACAGGTGCCTATTCCAACATCGTTACTCAAAACTAACGCTGACCTGGTCAGTAAGGCCACAAAGTTGTTCCATATCATTCTCAAGTACATGGGAGTCGATCATCCCTCTGACCGGCTCGCTCCAGCAAGCCTCGATGAACGAATCGAGCTCGTTGGAAAACTCTATAAGCAAACGTTAAAGCGAATAGACCTTCGGGATGAACTGTTTGTTCAGATTTCAAAGCAAACTCGGAACAATCCTGACAGGTAAATGCCTGGCCTATGCATAATGTCCTCTTTTCGTGCTTTATAACTTTTGCCATAAATAATGTTAGTGGGAAAACAAACATTCAGAAGGTGCGTGATGATCTTGTCCTAATTAATTTTTCTTAGGCAATACCTGGTCAAAGCATGGGAGTTGATGTATTTGTGTGCCTCCTGCATGCCTCCTAGCAAGGACATCGGTGCCTATTTGTCTGAGTATGTTCATAACGTAGCGCATGGTGTAAATGCCGAGTCTGAGGTTCGAGTGCTGGCTTTAAACACTTTAAACGCTTTAAAGCGTTCCGTTAAGGCTGGGCCTAGGCAAACTATTCCGGGGCGTGAGGAGATTGAAGCTCTCTTAACTGGTCGAAAGCTCACGACTATAGTATTTTTCTTGGACGAAACTTTTGAAGAAATCACTTATGACATGGCCACAACAGTGGCTGATGCTGTCGAGGTATTTCATCCCCTACTGTCTTTTTCTCATATTTCTATATATGACTATATGAGCATTTGTTGCACCGGATAATTAGAGAGAGAATTCAACCCCGTCGATATTCGATAAAGACGCCATTATATAAAACATAGAGGACGACGTGTTTGTTGCTCTTACTCTCAGCCCTTAGTGGTTATATATTTTATTTTCAAGTTGTAACCCCTTCTTAGTCATAGAGACTAGTTGTTGCTAACTGAATCCGCATGCGCTTTAGGAACTTGCGGGGATAATCAAATTGTCAGCATTCTCTAGCTTTAGTCTTTTTGAATGCCGCAAGGTTGTGACTGGCTCAAAATCACCTGATTCTGGAAATGGTATTTCTTCATCCACTCAATTCGTTCCTATTTGAGGAACCATTGATATTCGTCTTATATGCAATTTGTTCTTGTGCAGAGGAGTACATTGGGTTAGATGACAACAAATATATTGGGGACCTATTGGCGGAATTCAAGGTGGCAAAGGAACGAAGTAAAGGGGAAATTCTGCACTGCAAGCTGACATTTAAGAAAAAGTTGTTTCGGGAATCAGATGAAGCTGTATCAGATCCAATGTTTGTACAGTTGTCGTATGTGCAAGTATGTAGTTCTGGCTGAAGAATTTTTGGTTACTTCTACACTTTTTTTAACACACACACACACAATGTATGAATTATTACTAATGATGCTTTTAATCAGTGAACCAAGTGTTTCTTGTATTTTCTTATACCCTCCGACCTCTAAGTTTTGATATGCCTGGCTATATTGTTACAGTTACAACATGATTATATATTGGGCAATTATCCTGTTGGAAGGGATGATGCTGCACAGTTGTCTGCATTGCAAATCTTGGTTGAAATTGGATTTATTGATACTCCAGAATCATGCACGTCAGTTTTTCTTGTTTCTTTCCTCTTATTATTCTTAAAATAAATTCTACTTGCTCTTACTATTATACGTAGAAAATGAATGCCCACTTGTTGGACTTTGCAATTTTACGGCAATAATTCTAACTTGTTAGAATTGAATTTTCTAGTGACTGGAATTCACTTTTAGAACGGTTCCTACCCAGACAAGTTGCGATAACGCGAGCAAAACGAGAATGGGAGTTGGATATTCTCTCTCGTTACCATTCGATGGTGAGTCTAAGTTCAGAAGGTTGTTATAAGTTTAAAATTTTGTGAAAGAATCATTGACTGGCTCGGGTCTCTGGTAGGAACACTTGACCAAAGACGATGCAAGACAACAATTTTTGCGAATACTGAAAACACTTCCTTATGGAAACTCAGTTTTCTTCAGTGTACGAAAGATTGATGACCCTATTGGACTTTTGCCGGGACGGATTATTTTGGGCATCAATAAGAGGGGTGTAAGTATTACAAATGTGTATAGTTATACTGTCATGACATGCCAAGGAAAAAAATCACGATATAATGCTGACTTGCATTACTACATTACTGAGAATATTTTGCTTCGTCTTTCTGCAGGTTCATTTCTTTCGTCCAGTGCCAAAAGAATACTTACATTCAGCCGAGTTAAGAGACATAATGCAATTTGGAAGTAGCAACACTGCCGTGTTTTTTAAGATGAGAGTTGCAGGCGTGCTTCACATATTTCAATTTGAAACCAAGCAGGTTTAAACTTCTTTCTAACTTTACACTGGTTTTCTTTTAGAAGTTCTCAAGCTTCACCACTCTGTATAGCTTTATAGTTTTATGGAAGTTCTGATTTTTCTGCACCATGTAGGGGGAAGAAATTTGTGTTGCTCTTCAAACACATATAAATGATGTCATGTTACGGCGTTACTCTAAAGCTCGGTCTGCTGCCAGTGGCTCAGTAAACGGAGACTTTTCTAACAATTTTAAATCATCAAATGTGGAAGCATTTGAAAAACGTGTTCAGGATTTGTCAAAAGCTGTTGAAGAATCTCAGAGGAATGCTGATCAAGTATGATTTCAACGAAACATAAGTATTGATTGTTTAAGCTGGTTACTGAATGAAGCCACGGTCAATTATATTGCATATTTTCATTACTTAAGGTTTTTTCTTCTATGGCCGAGGGAATGGTTGACGGGTTCTTTTGAGTTTAAAATTGTTGCAATTTCAGAAGTGAAGAACAATATGAACTTTCGCGGTGTTGGATTTTACTTTTGCTTGACAGTGTTTAAGGTCTTACACTTATATAAACACCAATGAACTATTGTGCCAAAGATAATATTTCATAATTTTTTCCTTGACTTCTGTTTCGTGAATATTTTAGAAAGTTTCCAGGAGAGTTCTCAGTTCCTACAGCTGAGAGAGAATGGAAAAACCAATAATAATATTTGCTTTCTGTGCTGACTGAGCTCTAGGTTTTGTTGTCCTTGTCTTAATGAATTTATCATCCGTATGAAGGTATTTCACTTAAAAAAATTCATCTCTTCATGTAGTTGCAAAGAGAATTGCTTGAGAAACAAAACGAAGCAGCAAAAGTGCGAGAAGAGTTGGAAGATTTGAAAGAGTCGTTGAGATCGGAGAAGCAAATCTTGGCGGAAGTTACATCTGAACGCGAAAGACTTGCATCGCTATATGAGGAAAAAGACATGGCTCTCCAGGTTAGTGAGAGCATCTTTATAGTTAGGCCCTTTCATATGACGTTACTCAGATATAGTATGAAGTCATGATAGAAATAAAGGATTCTGATATCTATAATTATACTCAATAGGCTGCATTGTTAGAGAAAAGAAACATGGAAGCAAGGTTGGTGAAGTTGGGTAATGTACTAGAGAACAATTCTAAAAAAGACCAGCTCGGGGCAAATAACCAGGTAAATTTTTGTGAATATCATGCTATTAATTGAACTTAAGAAAAAAAAAAAAAAACTTGAGTTAATATAGCAACTCATGGCTCATAGAATAATTGTATCAATGCAGGCAATTTACAAGCTTCAAGATGAGTTGAAGCTTCGAAGGGAGGAGTTGCACGTAGCGGAAGAAACTATCAAGAGGCTGAAAGATGAAAAGCTTTTATTGGAGCAAAGGATGTCTGGACTTGAAAAGAAGAAAGCTGATGAGGTAATAACTTCCATATGAGAGTGACTTCTTTTCTGTCTCTTCTTTTTTCCCCTTCTATCATTTCTAGCTTTCTTCACAAAAGCTGTTAAATTCAGATCAAATTGCTTCAGAGAAAATACGAGGAAGAGCGCAAATTTTTAGAACTTCAAATGTTTGATCTTGAAAAGAAGCTTGAGGGGATTACTCAAGAGTTAGCTATTGCCAAATCTACTCTCGCAGCCAAGAACTCTGATTTGGCCACTTTGCAAAATAATTTACAAGAACTAGATGAATTGAGAGAAATGAAAGAGGTGAGTGCATTATATGCACTTGATTACCTGTCTTCACAGTTCTGTTTTGGTTTCTGGATGCAATGTGATGCATACATATACATGTATCCACGACTTTAGGACATTGATAGAAAGAATGAGCAAACCGCTGCAATCTTGAGGATGCAAGGAGCTCAGCTTGCTGAGTTGGAAGTGCTCTACAAGGAAGAACAGCTTTTAAGGAAGCGCTATTTTAATACTATCGAAGGTTAAATTTCTTTTATATACATCTTCTGTATAAAGCTTGATGTTGCATTTTCTAGTGAAGCAGCTGAAATCTCTCTCTCTCTCTCTCTCTTTTTTCTTCTTCTTGGTTGCATTTCAGATATGAAAGGAAAGATCAGAGTGTTTTGTCGTTTAAGACCCCTTAGCGAAAAAGAGATTGCTGAACAAGAAAGAGATGTAATTACAACTTTAGACGAGTTTACCGTTGAACATTCATGGAAGGATGGTAAACTTAAGCAACATACATATGATTGCATATTCGATGGCAACGCCACCCAGGAAGACGTATTTGAAGATACCAGGGTAAGTTTGGTTCAATTCAAGTGATACGTTCACCACGTGAAATATTAATTTCTACTTCCTTTGAAACTCTCATGTTCATTGTTTGTAATTCTTAATTCATAATACTTACCTTTCTGGTGACTATTACAGTATTTGGTGCAATCTGCTGTAGATGGGTACAATGTCTGCATATTTGCTTATGGTCAAACTGGTTCCGGAAAGACATTTACAATATATGGATTAGAGACAAATCCTGGACTCACTCCACGAGCAATTGCAGAACTTTTTAAAATTTTGAAACGGGATGGCAATAAATTCTCCTTCTCACTAAAGGTAGTTATCATACAATGAACAGTTTTCACCGATAGAATATATTTGTTTTTGACTGTGTTGATTTTGGTAGCGTTGCTATTTTTGTGCAGGCCTATATGGTTGAGTTATATCAAGATACGCTTGTAGATCTTCTATTACCCAAGAATGCAAAACGATTGAAATTGGAAATTAAAAAAGATTCAAAGGTGTTTTTCTTTTCCACAGAACTTATGATTCCTATCTCTACAGTTTTTAGGTTTCCTATGAATCGAAGCCTGCTATTTGTTATCAAACAAGTATAATACTTGTAGATTTCAGATATGCTTCCATTTCGTTGGTTAAATTTACGTTTCCTGTGTCTACTTTATATTTGTTTGATTTGTAATTTTAGGGAATGGTATCGATCGAAAATGTGACGGTTTTATCAATATCAACTTATGACGAATTGAAAAGCATTATCCAGAGAGGATCTGAACAACGCCATACATCCGGAACTCAAATGAACGAAGAAAGTTCAAGATCTCACCTTATACTTTCTATTGTTATTGAAAGTACCAACCTTCAAACGCAGTCTGTTGCAAGAGGAAAGGTAATACTATACCACCAATGATGATAAACAAGGATTAGGGGCGCTGGTATGCAACTTAGTAATGGATTCATGCATTCTATGTATTCATTTTCTGCGCTGCTATTGAGGTGGTTCCTTAGGTTGGAATTGGCATGTTTATTAATAATTGTTACTTCATATTTGTTTAGCTAAGTTTTGTGGATCTTGCTGGATCGGAAAGGGTCAAGAAGTCAGGCTCCTCAGGAAGTCAACTTAAAGAAGCTCAAAGCATCAACAAGTCACTTTCAGCGTTGGGAGATGTTATTAGTGCTTTGTCTTCTGGTGGTCAACACATACCTTATCGGAACCACAAATTAACAATGCTAATGAGCGACTCACTTGGCGGTAATGCTAAAACACTCATGTTCGTCAATGTGTCTCCAGCTGAATCAAACTTGGATGAGACATACAATTCTCTCATGTATGTTGTGCTTCTCGTTTCTCTCCTTGATTTGTTTGTCTTTCATAATGTACAGTTATCATTGAGTTGGGATAGTGCAATAAATTCTCCTAATGTACAGTTATCATTAATAAGGAACTGTGCTAGGTCTGGGAAGATGCTTTTGTAGCCCTCAAGTTAGTTCTAGGTTTAGATGCATGTTTGAGTCCGACATGGTCATTTATTTGATGATGTGAATAACATCTGCGTCAACACTTGTGGTCATTCAGGTATGCTTCAAGAGTCAGGTCGATTGTAAATGACCCGAGCAAAAATGTTTCATCGAAAGAGGTGGCCCGGTTGAAAAAGTTGGTGGCTTATTGGAAGGAGCAAGCAGGTAGGAGGGGGGACAACGAAGATCTGGAGGAAATCCAAGAAGAGCGACCAACAAAAGACAGAGCTGACGGGCGGCATTCCATGTAATGTTTGTTTATCATGAGTTTCGCAGGGCGGGCAGAATTTTTGGAGCAGATGGCCGGCATTCCACAATAGCTGATTAAAGATCTCCTTCAAATTGGTGCATTTGTAATATTGATATGTTGAGGAAGAAAGAGTTGTCAGCGTAGCAGTGTTAAGATGTATAGTTTGAATGCGCGTGTATATATATATAGAGAGAGCGGATAACATAACACACTAGTACAAATGTATGAGACTCTGCAATCATGCGTTATTTTTGTTTCCGAAAGAATATCAGGCAACCGTGGTTGTTCAAATCACTGACTCTTGATCATATCTTCTTGAATCTTTGATGCAGGGTCCCTCATATCGGAGTGAAAATACATAGAATTGAATTGCAAGTGTAACAGTATACGTAGTTGTGTTTAAGTTAATTAAGAGTGTCACAAAAGCAAGAGTTTGTTGTTGAATAGACTGACAATGCTTCATTCAATTAAGTTGTAGTGTGGCTCCAACTCGATATGTCAGTCCTTTGATTTGACCTACACATATATGGAACCCATGCATTTTAATCTGACATGTCATTGCTCTGTTTTGTTTTGTTTTTTTTGCACATATATATACACACGAATGAAACAGATATGGAGAGAAAATCATAATCGTTATCGTGGTATGGGGAGTAGGTCATCATTTAATGCATTCATGATATGGTTAGGTGGTGCGTTCATTGAAGTCATTACTAGTATTGTTATCATTATTATTATTATTATTATTATTATTATTATTATTATTATTATTATTATTATCATCATCATTATTATTATTATTATCATTATTATTATTATTATTATTATTATTATTATTATACTACTACTACTACTAAAATATCAAAAATAAAATAAAATAAAAGCACCTCAACTAGTATTAATGCATGCGTAGGATTTAGGAATCAGGACTGAGTTAGAAAAAACACGGAGTCTGATGGAGAAGCAGGAGATGGAGATCATCTCAACTACTACTTCGTCATCATCTCTTCCAATTCTCCCAAGACTGGATCGTGTTGATCGTTTGGTAACAAAAACCATAATCAAACGGCCTCTTCTTTTTCTTATAGATAATATATACATATTGTAATTTTAATACCATATAAAGGTGTGATATATGTATTGATACTAAAACCATATGGCAATGTGTATATTAATAATTATTGATGGAAAACAGCTGCAGTTTCTGGAAGAGAGGCATAACAAGAAGATTAATGTTGATGTTAATTGGTCAAGTGTTGAAAACAAGAGCGTGCCAATGTCAAGCGCAATGGAGGAAGTTCATTACAGAGGCACTTTGATGGATCGTCTAGCTACACTCGAGAACCGAGTATTACAGGTTTCTTTTCTTTTCCTTCTTTTTTTTTTTGAAACAGCGCGCGCGCGCGCACACACACGGAGATATATATATAGAATAATTACTGATATGAGGCTTTTGGTTGCTTTTAATTTTGTAGTTGTGGGTGGCCCTAGAAGTAGAAGATCGTCGTGATCGCCATCAACATCATCATGATCACGTGGATCAGACGGATCAAGATGAGAGAAACAAAATGACTTGGGGGTCTAGCTCTGCCTCTACTTCCACATTGGAGGCTGATCATCATCATCAGCTGCCCATTGTGGGAAAACGAAAACACAGAAGATGGAAAAACATTTATCATTTCAGAAAATGGTTGAGCTGGTTTCCACCGGGATGTTAGTTATGGAATTTGAGCTATATACTTAACAATTTGCAAAATGCCAGATTCATTTAGTCATTATAATTAGCATGCATGCTATTCATTTAGTCATTATAATAAGGAAAAAAAAATGCTATAGAGAGTTCCTATATTGCTTAAAATCTAAAAGTTTCCAAAGAGTACTTACGTACTTCTTTAAATTTTCTCTTAATTTTCTTACACACTGTTGAGGCTACCTTGAAATTTTTTTTTGATAGTGTGACCTGATTATGTCCTAGTCTTTTTTCTCTGTGTAAAATCTTTCTAAGAGTGAGAGTTTAAGTTACTTGTTAAACATCTCGTAATCTTCCTATTCTCCCAAGACTGGATCGTGTTGATCATTTGGTAACAAAACCATAATCAAACCCTCTTCTTTTCCTTATTTATAATATATACATATTGTAAATTTAATACCATATAATGTTGTGATATATGTACACATGAATTGAGTTTTGGTTGGTTAGTCAATTTTTGGAGAAAAATAGACGGTTAAAAAAGGTCAGGTGTATTTCGGGTAAAAAGATTCACCAGTTGTAAAGTGGATTGATCGTGATGAAAAGACAATTAAATAGTGAAAAAAGTCGAGTGGTGGAATAGGTCAGCAATAATGGGTGTAGGCAATTTTTACCGAGCCATTATAGAACTTTATTTGTGAACTTCTCTTCTTACCTCTCTTTAATTTATTGAATTCAAGTTTAAATTGTGCATTTAATTGTTGATTGTATCTTAAAAATTAGAATATTTTGACGCGTTTGGAACTCGTTCTAAAATGATTATGTTTTTTTTTGTGTAAAAATGAAAATAAAAACGTTTTCAATCTCAAACAGAAATCATTTTTAAAAATGTATTTGGTAGTTTTATTAAGAGATTATTTTCAGTATAAAGAAAAACTTATTAATGTCTCTGGGCTCGAGAGATGAGAAAACAAAAACAAAAAATTAAAACAACTAAAAGTCATTTTTCATTTCTCTCTCATTTTATACTAAACTAAAAAGTCATTTTCATTTATGTTTTTTATCTTTATTGCGCAAACGTAATTTTAAAAACGTTTTTATTTTTTCTTTCTAAAAAAACGTGAAAAATAAAAACGAGATTAATTCTAAACAGGTCTTTGTTTTCCGTGAATTGAATTGAATGTTTGTTAAATTGCCCATGTAGTATTTGATAGAATTACCGTGAGTGTTTATTAATATTTATTATTTTGTTACCTTATTATTATAATAAATATTTTAATTATGATTAATTCTAATATAATAAATATGCAATTAATTTTTTAAATTAAAAATACAAAATTTATTTAAAAAGTATATTAATAATTTTACGTAAATTCATTCCAATTTTTAAAAGGTAAGTAAATAACTTATTTTGACTGAGATACTTCATTTTGAACCCTGCTGACTCTAATTTATGCCCAAGTAAATGCGTTATTTAAGTTATCTATATTCATCCTCAAACAAAAGACATGAGAAAAGGGAATTTATTTGGGAAACCTTTTCTTTTCTACGTGTATATGTAAAACTTCCAAAAGATATGAAGGAAAAAAGAAAAGGGAAAGAGAAAAGAGAAAAGAAAAAAGAGAAAAGAAAAAAGAAAAAAGAAAAAAGGGCGACAGCTAAGCTAACACGTGAATGGTGGTGACTGCGCAGGTAGAATAAAAGAAGTTGGTCAAACCTTGGATGTTAAATGACGTATTTACCAAAGTGAATGTGAAGTTAAAAATCACCATAACCAAACAAGTCTAGAGAAGTTTGGAAGAAGAAGAAGAAGAAGAAAGATTCATCCATTCCTTTGCTTTGCTTTCCTAGGAATCTTAGATGACTGAAAACTGACAAGTTAGAAGGAGATGAGTATGAAGGTGTTCAGAGGAGGATCTTCTTATTCTTACTCATCTCTCTTAAAAACTCTGGTGGCCATCTCCATATGGCTCGGAAGCATTCACTTCAACGCCCTTCTGCTCCTCCTCTCTCTTTTCTTCCTTCCTCTTTCCTACTCTCTCCTGTGAGTTTACTTTTTTCATTGATTGCTTGTTTTGATTTTAACATTCGATTCGATTGATCGATTTCCTCAAAAAGTTTCAAACTTTTTTTTTTCTTTTTAATTGAATCTTATTATTCTTCTTCTTGTTCTACAAACAGGGTATTGGGATTGCTGGTGGTGCTTATGCTGATTCCAATCGACGAACAGAGCAAAGTCGGCCAGAGGATTTCGAGGTTCATATGCAGAAACGCCTGCAGCTACTTCCCTCTCACCCTTCACGTCGAGGACATCGATGCCTTCCTTCCCGACAGGGCCTACGTGTTCGGCTACGAGCCCCACTCGGTGCTGCCGATCGGCGTGGTGGCGCTCGCCGACCTCACCGGCTTCATGCCTCTCCCCAAGATCAAGGTGTTGGCCAGCACCGCCGTATTCTACGCGCCGTTCCTGAGGCACATCTGGACTTGGCTGGGCCTCACGCCCGCCACGAAGGCCAACTTCGTGTCCCTCCTGCGCAGCGGTTATAGCTGCATTGTGGTGCCTGGCGGCGTCCAAGAGACCTTTCTCATGGAACACGGCTCCGAGGTTGCCTTCCTCAACTCCAGAAGGGGATTCGTCCGCGTTGCCATGGAGTTGGGCCTGCCCCTCGTTCCCGTTTTCTGTTTCGGCCAGGTTGTTTCTCTTTTATTAGTGTTTCTTTTTGTATTGAACTCCCAACATTATTATGTTAATACTATTAACAGCAACAACATGTTTCAGTAACTGTTCGTAGTCTAATGTTAGCCGTTTATGATGTTTGGTTGAACTCATTCCAGTCGAATGTTTACAATTGGTGGAAGCCGAGGGGGAAGTTGTTTCTCAAGTTCTCAAGGGCTATCAAGTTCACCCCTATTTTCTTCTGGGGAATATTTGGGTAATGTGTGTGTGTGTGTGTATACATATTATTATGTTGCAAAACTCAAATGTGTCCAACAACACCAAAACACAGCTAATAGTGATAACCTATTCGTCCAATGCAGATCTCCTTTCCCCTACAGACGCCCAATGCATGTGGTGGTCGGAAAACCAATTCCACTCACCAAGAATCCGCAACCCACCACCGAAGAGGTAAATGCACTGCAAACTATCCACTATCTGCTTACAGAAAAATGAAGACTTGGAACTTACTACTTTTTTGTTCTTCTTTTTGATACTAAGATAGAATTTCATCGAAAGCAACTAGGCAAACCCCAATGAAACAAGACACAAAACGTGCAAGTTAAGTAGTAGCATATGACAAAGGCTACTCCTCCACTCTATTGCATCTCATAAAACATCACTACAACTTAGTGCTTGGACACTGTCTGCTAAATATTAATTTACTTGTATTTATTTTAGACAACAAATACAAAGCTTAAGACAGATGATAGCTAAAATCTCCAATGCCACTAGCCAACAACTTGACGCTTTTTTTCTTCTTCCGTTTAATCAAACTATTCAGGTCTCTCAAGTGCATGCTCAGTTTGTTGAACAACTTCAGCAGCTCTTCGAAAAACACAAAACCCGACTTGGCTATGCCGATCTTCAGTTGAAAGTCCTCTGAGTAGATCGATGTACGATCAACTAAATTTATTTTCTTTGTTATAGTTAAGAGGAATAAAACACTAATACTAACAAAAGCTTCCAGAAAGATTCTTGGCAGATATCCATGTTCTCTAGGTTCAGAGGAATAATAGACTTGCTAATAAAAGCTTCCAGCTAAATTTTCGGTAGATATTTTTGTTTAGCAGTGTAAACAAAATCATGAATGAATGATGATATCAGGTGACGAGCCACATGAAGAAGGTCGACCAGAGAGTAAGGGAGAGTGATGCAAAAGCGTAGGTCCAGAGCATTATAACAGAACACTCACTCTCCCCTGCTCCAAACAATTGGGTGATTGTGCCAATGTTCATCGCTGGAGGGAGTGCGTACTGCAGATGCAGAACAAACTCATAGAGCGGATCCTTCAACCGCAACTGCAGTGCCCCATAGTGTTTTGCAGCTGTCACAATTGCAACGCCTATCGCAGGCTGCACCACGTACCGAACTCCTATAATTCCGCAGATCACCCTCGCCAAACTGCCAGACCTTTTCAACCCTGCACAACCACAACTAATTATTATTGGCCTAAACCTATAGACAAAAGTGTGGCATCAAATAGTAAAAGGGGAGTCTCTAACTTCATCACCTTTAAGAAGGTTTGCTCCCATTATCAGGGCCACCGTTGGGATGGCTGCGTCACTGCTAGCACACAAAGATTCAAATAAAAAAAAAAAAAAAAAAAAAGACTAAGAAGTGCGCATCATTTTGAAATTAAGATGAAGATCTCTCAAACACCAAACTTTAGGACAAATTTTATCTTGTTTACCTCACCAAGGAAGCTGCATCATAGAGCACAAGAAGAGGGGCACCGTCATCAACTATCAATTTCCGGGTTTGGGGTACCATGCCTACGATAAACCCGACAACCTATTACAAAGAAACGATTAGAAGCTTTTATTTCTAAACTCTCCTGTCTCAGAGTAAGACATGGAATCTGAGCTAGCTGCAAGCACATACCGCTCCTACAGTTGAAGGCGCGAATAACGCCCTCAAATTGATGTCGCTTGACAACGTTGTTAAGTAGTGCTTTATCTGATTACAGATTGGCACCTGCCACACACAACACTAATCACAAATTCATAATAGCACCCTAAATTCACGTTTTGAAACTAAAATGTTTTCCTTGTGTATAGAAAAGGAGGTCTGTGCCATCATACCTTACTCTCCCCCTTGTATTTTGCATGGCATGCGTGGTCCGCAGACACAGAGTTGTCCTTTCCAAGAACCAGTGCTTCTGAGTTTGAAAAATTACCATCTACCAAGTCTGATGTTCCTTTAGTAGGTCTTGTGCCGCGTTTTGGGTCATCTGCGTTGCCCATACTTGAGGAAATTCGGACAATGTTGTAAACATAAGACCATAAGGAAATGGCTCCAATCTGATGTATACATTGAATAAGGGAAAAAACAAACAAACATACAAACACTCATTAGTATCTCATTGTCAGACAAGCTAAATCAGCCAATCCATATAGATACACAGAATGGTTGCATTTGATAGTAAGAGAACTGCCACAGAGGAGAAAATGGTAAGAGTAACATACGGCCATGGAAAGAGAAGCATAGGTCATTCCAGAGGAATGGCAAAGATGAGGTGCTCCAAATGGACTACCTCTCTCTCTGCATACTGCTAAGATTATTACTATTGGCAGATTTCCCAAATTTCCTGTTCATCATAACAGTCATAATCATCTTCATCTCCTAATTACAGATAATTTCTAACTCTTAAATCTTAATCATATATATATATATATGTGTGTGTATATGTATATACGTATATATATACGTACCTGCTGAGCAGCAGCCTAGAACGAGGCCTTTGAGATGTTGGGGAGGCTTTGTGATTTTGACAACCAACCATCCTAACCCAGATCCTATCACAAACGTACTCATGATATTCACTGGCATGAACCACCTACATTATGCACACACACACATGCATATACAATGAATTGCAACTAAGAAAAAAAGGGTAGAAAAAACTAATTAAAAGTGAATACGAAAGAATATAATATATCAATATACTCACAATGAAATAATCCTTTCAAGAGTAATGGTTTTGGCCAGGTTGCTGCTCACAAATGCTGGATTGAACACGAAAAATACTAGCTGGCCGCACAAACACACACACATTGACATGTACAATTTTAAGACTTCATGACGATGTGGTATATATACATATTGGATAATGTATGTGTCATTTCGTACGTACGTGCATCGACATTGATCAACATGTACGCACGATATTCATGATGTTTTTTATATATATGCTATATATATATATATATATGTATATATGTATAAACTTACTGAATTCAAACGCTTGCGTGCATTGTCACCAAGAATATCAGAGGCGGTGAAAGCGAGAAATGAGCCAAGCGCAGTTAATATGAGCAGTTTCAACACTGGGATTGAAGCAACCAAGAACAGATCAATCAGCCCACCTGCCATTTATATATGTATATTGTATATACGTCTGTTCTTCTCCAAAGTAAAATTATGCCCCTAGCTAAGCTAAAACGTATCAATTAAAGCTCCAAATTGGAGTTGTTTAACTATGTTCTGAAGAAAATATAATTCAAATGATAATAGACAGAGACTTAAATATATGTATGATGCATGGTTGAAGTTGAAGAATGAAGATCAATTATATAGACGATATTAGTTACATGTATGTATCTATATATGGTCTCCTTCCTGTTAGCTTCCTATTTTAACTTGATTCATTTACATTGTTAACATTATTATAGATCAGTCCAACCCCAAAACTAATTTCTATTCATCGCCTACGGCACCTCCCGCCCCCTACTTAAAAACCAAACACTACAAAACAAAATTATTGAGTTTGAAAGAAGCCAACTCTTTTTTTTTTTTTTTCTTTTTTTTAAGAACAATAAATGGAATTGAATTTGGTGCAGTGCCTTAAATGACAAGTTAGGTGAAAGAAAGAAAATTATTGAGTTACCGTCTTCTATATAATATATTGCAACACGTTGACATGGAATTTGTGGCTCTAGCCTTGTTATTTCTCAGATTGTTTGCTGATTATCCGTCACACTAAACTTGGATCTATGTTTTATTATTATTGTTTAAAAATTCTGCCTACCAAATATTTTTAAGATGACAAAAATGTATGTGAGATAGAGAGAGAGAGAGGGACGGGGCGGGTCTCAACCTATTATTTGGTTTGAACTTTGAAGGAAGAGAAGAGTAAAAAGAGAGATAGAAGGTCGAGAACCCACCGTATTATCCTTTCATTAATAGAAGGCTCATGCAATTTATCGTTTAAAGTTGGACAATATCTATCATTTTAATTCTCTATCTTCTCTCATATTAAACAATATAAAAGATTACTATAATCTACTTTATCTTTTCGACTCTCTTCTCTCCTATCAATTCTTCCTACTCTCCATTCCTCCTACCAAATAAAGTCTCATGTGTATAAGTGGCTCCAACGAATATAAATAATTTGAATTTGTCAGTTTGGGGACTCAGAAATCAAGATTTGTTAAGTTGGGGATGCAAGTGACAAATTTCAAAAACTTTGGGACTGGAGTCGTTATAAAAATAACAATAAAATAATATAAAAATAATTAAACCGAGGAGAGCGGCCGACGACGTCGTTTGGGGTAGTCCCTTGCACACCCGACACCCGACCCGAGAATGCCGACGTTTCCGATGAGTGAGTGATGAAGCCGAACATGGCATGAAAATTGAAATGCGTCAAATGTAATTTTTTTACCAATCTCTTTTCTTTTCCAATATTTTCACACTTTTCATTTTTTTCCTGTATTATTATTATTATTATTATTATTCCAGAAAAAACAGAAAAGGGGGGGATTTGTACACTGGCAATCGTGAAGGAATTTTGTTTCTGTAGAGATTGAAGGAAACAAAAAATAAAGGGGATTAGGGTTTCAGAAGATTGGTTGGTTGGCTCAATTCTCGGCAATCCAGGTAGGTTATGTTCTCCTTCTGCTTCGTTTTTTTTTTCCCCCAAAAAAAAAAACGACGAAAGATTCCATCTTTATTCGATGTTATCAATTGACTCTTTATTTACATGCTCCGATGATGAAATTACAGCTTCAAGCTTGAATCTTTTGTTTTTCTTAAACGAGTAGAAAGTATAATGAGTGGTTCCAAGGAAAATGACGACGCTCCAGTCGCCGTTTCGGATACCCAGATACTGAAAGTGGAACAAAAAGAAGAAGAAGAAGAAGAAGAAGAAGACGAGGCTCAAATTGGAAATCCCCCTCCGGCTGAGACTACTGAAACTGAAGCAGCAGCTACTACTGCTGCTGCTGCAACTGCAATTATTGAGGATAAGGACAAGGATAAGAATAAAACATCCTCAAAGGAGGAAGATTCCAAGAAGCCACATTCTAATTCTAATTCTGTTTCTGTCTCTGTCGATCACAAAACCACCATTGCTACTGCTACAACTACTGGTAGTCGTGTTGATGCCAAAACTGAAGCTTCTGAGCCTCCGAATCCCAATTCTCAAGCCCAGACTCAGAATGATAATGGCAACGGAATTCCAACCTCAAAGGACCAGTTTTTCATAGACGACAACTACCTCGTGTACGAAGAAGGGAGCGAATCGGGGGCGGAAGAAGACCAATCCAACTTCATGAAGGAGCTTGAGCTTTTCTTCAAAGAGAGAAGCCTGGAATTCAAGCCCCCCAAGTTTTACGGAGAGGGCCTCAATTGCCTTAAGTCAGTAATTCCACTTGTATTTTGTAGTTTCAATAATTGTGCCTTAGTACATGCGGTAATGAATTGTCTGTCTGAATGTGTAATCCATTTTCTTGTCGGGCAGGCTTTGGAGGGCTGTCACTAGATTGGGTGGCTACGACAAGGTATGCTTTGCATTTTCCCGCTTATTTGTATTTTCCATGATGCAACATTTCTGCCTGTATTTACATGTTTACGATTTTAAGTGCATTACCCCCTTTTCACAAGTCTCTTATTTTCTCCATAAGCTAAAGCTACATAATTGCCTTCCATTTATTGATAGGTGACTTCATGTAAGTTGTGGCGGCAAGTGGGAGAGTCCTTCAAACCCCCAAAGTAAGATATAATAGATAAACTCGATTTTACTCTTGTGGCTGTTTTTAACGGTATCGGCAACTTGTGCTTTTCTTATTCAATGCAGATTAGTTTCATTGTCATACGAGTAAGTAGGTAAAGGCACAACTTTGTAAATTCTATATGTTTCCATGGTGTTGTAGTTGATGAATCCTATACGCACCCACGGTAGTAAGTAGTAAGTCACAACTTTGTGATGTCTTGATGTGTCCTCCTCTCTTTTTATAACAAAAATCACGACTTTTTCATGTGTTGATGTGAGATTATGTCGCTGTTCATAAATGGTTTCCTGTTTTTGATTTTTTGTGCAGGACATGCACTACGGTTTCTTGGACATTTCGAGGTTTCTATGAGAAGGTGTGTTTAGATTGCTATTGATTTGATATGTATGATTATGTTTCTTATTGCAAGTGCTTGTTAATATACTATGCCTTAATGATACATTGCTCGAGATATGCTATGATAGCTTAGTCTAACATATAAGGTTCATCTTACTGAAATATCCAGATGTGATCTTATCTAATGCCGTGTGTACATTCAAAACCTTGATCTCTTGGTGGTGACTTGTGACTTTTATCTAGCCTGCTGTGACTTGAATTTCTTTTAGACAGGCGCATGCATAATGAGTCCATTTTGTCAGTCCTTCTTTTTAATATTATTTTTTGTCTCTCTTTTTAACCCCCATTTTAACCTCACTCTGATAAAATATAGCACTACTTAGTCTGATTCATGCTACCTGATTATTTGAGGTTGTATTGATATTTACTTGGTTCTGTGTGGTGTTTCTATTTGTACACTTTTAGGCACTCCTGGATTATGAAAGACATAAAACACGTGGTGGTGAACTTAGTGTGCCTGTTTCTTCCCATGCAGAGCCTAGTAATGTTGATACTCAGGTAATTCTAACTTGATTTTTGATTTTCTAGGAGTACTTAGTTGATGATGATGATGTAGTTCAATGATGTTTTCCAAGCAAAGATTTCTTAACCTGAATCAAGCACGGACTCACCCATTTCTAATGCTCGATCGCTTCGAGTTTTCCTTTTGCCTCATCTCTTTATCGCTCATGCTAGTATTCATGAAGTGTTTTCATTCTGTCACTTTATCAGGCTTCGGGATCGGGTAGAGCACGTAGGGACGCAGCGGCGCGTGCTATGCAGGGTTGGCACTCGCAGAGACTTCTTGGTAATGGTGAAGTCAGTGACCCCATTATTAAGGTGTGCTGAAGATTTTAGTTATTGCACACATTTCTTTCCATGACCTGTTTTGTTTGTCGTGCATAAGATTACATGTGATGCATTTGCCAAATTTCTTTAGGATAAAAATTCCATCTCCATGCAGAAGCGTGAAAAACAACTCAAAAATATAGGTATGGCCTCCCTGTAGAACGAATATCCTTAAGATTGTCCTGTTGCAGCTGGCAAAAATTTCTCAACTACAAATCTTTTCTAAATTAGCACCAGGTTTGCTCAAACGTAAGAAGCAACCTTACACGGACCATGCAGTAAAGGCGACACGTACTAAAGCATCCAAGACACAGTTAAGGATCATGATACATGTTATTTCATGATTGAGAATCTCTGTTGACTTCACTAGAGAGGTTGGAATTTGATTTACTCACTTTTATGACTGTGTCTGCATGGATAGGTTGGACACTGCAGTGGTTGATGTTGGACCTCCAGCTGAATGGGTGAAGATCAATGTGCAAAGAACTGTAAGTTTCCAAATGCGTGTTTGGATATACAAGAATGTGGAGTTACTCTAGTTTTCAAGGTTTAAAAAATTAACAAGTACGAGAAATGTCATGTTTACAGAAAGATTGCTACGAGGTATATGCTTTAGTTCCGGGACTTCTACGTGAGGAGGTAAGTAGATACGTTAATGAACTGTTGTTTTCTTTCTTCTTAGCTCTTGACCGTTGTTGAATTCTTTAGAAAATTGATCTTCTGTTCCATAGGTGCAATATAAGCAAGTTTCCCTGTCAAGCAAACTCAGCACGTTTATAAAGAATTAATTTATCAGTTAGATGCAGCCACTTAGGTTGCCAAAGAATTAATTTATCAGGTTGCCAAAGAATTAATTTATCAGTTAGATGCAGCCACTTAGGTTGCCTAAGTAACTTTGATGAGTTGAAACTCTGCCCTGAATAATTGTCCAGATTGATGTACTCCGAACACTTGGACCCTTTTGAGTAGTATCTGCTTATGCATGAACTTTGTAAAATAGTGAACACTGAATAGAATAAGAAAAGGTCTGCCTTTTGTTTAAACTGCATCGAATGTTCCATGGCCTCTCTTCATGCTTTTAAGACATCATCATGTTTCTTACCTTGCTCTATGGTGATCAAACCTCAGGTGCGTGTGCAATCTGATCCAGCTGGACGGCTGGTTATAAGTGGTGAACCCGAGCAGCCCGATAACCCGTGGGGCGTCACACCTTTCAAGAAGGTATTTTTTTTAATTATCATTTTATTTTTTCTTCTTTTGGGATTGTGCGTTTTGCTTTTTGGGGTATTGGGAAAATACAAATTTTAGAGAACACCAAATGCAACTAGTCGTTCATAAGAAACCAACTGTGGGTAAAGACTTTTTAAAGCTTCGTGGTTGGTTTGTTTCAATCATCGATGATCAAATTACATCTGCCAATTGTTTGTTTGTTCCGTTGCTAAAAATAGAATTATTGTAGTGGTATTCTGTTTGCATGTTGAGTTTGGTTTTGGTGTTGGCAGGTTGTGAGCCTGCCATCAAGAATTGATCCACACCAGACATCAGCAGTTGTCACTCTGCATGGGCAGTTGTTTGTTCGCGTTCCGTTCGAGCAGTCGGAGTAAGAGCATTTGAGGGTCTGCATCTGCACATGCATCATCCTCCCCACTCTTGTTTCCTTTCTTTTTTTTATTTTTTTTTTTATTTTTATAAATTCGCTCTCTTCTTGTAATCCCCAAATAGTCAAGTAGAAATAGGAGTTTGAGCGTATGTTTCTGTGGTAATCCATAAGTAGTTAGGCCTAACAGTGCTACAGTTGAATTATGTATGTGTTGAACATTTCAATTTAGTTTTTGAACCTGTGTGATTTGTACATTATTATTTTGTACTAGAGATTAGAGATGAATGGATGATGCTAACAAACAAGTGCTGGGAATTGGAAATTCCAAAACACGTTTTGTTTGGACCATTTGATATTTTAGATTTTTTTTTTTTTTAAAGTAAAAGTAAAAGTCAAAGCGAGAAGCCATGGTGTTCTGGTCAACTACCTAAAGTATGGCTGATTAAATCTTACTTGCTATTTGGACATGTCCTTTTTCTGCCACATCTCTCTCTCTCTTGAAGCTTTTCTGAAGTTGTTGTTTCTCAGGAAATTTATATGGAGTTGACGCATGTGATGGCAGAGAAATCATAGAAAAATTACTAAAGTTGGCTTTGCTCCATTTTATGAACTCCTCCTTTTATTCCAAAAAGCCAATCGCTTTCATTAGTCTGTAATTTAGATGCTGAGCAAAGTATGCATCTTTCGTATTAGTTTAGTTAAAAGGGTATGATTACAAGCAGTTTGGATGTGTCCCGCCCAGAGCATTACTTTCACTCTCTGCCTGCCCCATTCCACAGTTGGTTTGTATTGAAACTCGCGAGTTTGTATTGTCTTACCGGAAAGAGAAGCACGTGTAGAATTTGCTCCTCATCTTCTGCTTTTGTTTTTATTTCTACTTGTTGAATCATATTCATACGATCATATGATTATGCATCTTTCTTTTGTTTCAGCTGGATCTCTGTTTGCCAATCTCACAAATGCAAATCTCACATAAATCATAATTGACCAGTGTTTGTTGTCTCCACAGGCACATCAACTCAACTTGGTCTAATAATTTGGCTGCTTTAGACGTCACCTAATTTGAAAAACAAAACAAAACAACCACATTTCCTTTTCCATTTGTATTTTTTTTTTCTTGCTTTTGTCTGGTTTATTTTCCTTCCGAGATGGTCCCATCCTGTCCCCTCGATGGGGCCCCACGGCTGCAATCATACCAAAGTATTTGGCCTTACTATTAGTTTTATATCACATGATGTTTAAACAAATGCAGATGCCGGTTGTAAGACACCTCCCCTCTAATAGTGTCTCTGTGTGTGTATATGTTATATAAGCCAGCCGTTATATATAATTGTTGAGTAGCGCACAATAATCAGAAACACCGTCCAGAGTTGGGAAACTCCCACAGATTCCCACCTTTAAACACTCATATATATATATATATATATGCCTTCTGCCTCTTTCCGCGTCAATAGAAAAGAAAAGGAAAGAAAAGAGAGAGAGGAGAATGCGCTTCAAATTGGTCATATTTTTGGTAAGATTTTAAAGTAATCTTTCCTTCTTTGTGCATAGTAGTAGGAACAAGAAAGGTAAAATGAGTATGGGAGAGATGAAATACAAAAGGGTGATGATGATAGGGAATGGGAGGAACATGATGGTGAGATGGCAGCATCAGCTGCCGCAGCCGCAGCCGCCGCCGCAGGGGAAGGCCAGGAGGCGAGGGAACCGAGTAGCAGAGGAATAAGACTCAACCTCAAGAGGTTTTTGGTGTCGAGTCTACGCCCGCGAATGTTGAGGCTTTTGAGAGTGTTGAGCAGATGGCGAGTCAAGGCCCTGCAAGCGCTGAGGAGCCTCAACTTCGACACAAGAAGATCAAACAGCCACAACAACAGCATTAGGCACAGACACAGACATAGCACTAGGCGTAGTCGGAGTAGGAGTCGTCTTGTGGCGTCGGATCACGTCTACTCCACCTGCGACCGCGTCAGCCTCACATCCCTCGACCGCTCCAACTCTTTTTATGCCGAGGCCATTGCCGATTGCTTGGACTTCATCAAGCGCTCTTCCATTTCTCTTGATGGCCACGATCATCATCACAACTATAACATGCCCAGTACTACTTATGATTAATTTACATACTTATAAATACTTATTTACTAAACCCCGCTTTTTTTATTTTTTTATATTTCATCATCGCTGTGCGTCTTCTCTAGCCGTACAGGAACCAGACAAGTCTGATGAATTGCTCATGACAGATCCATTTTTTGTTTGTTTTTTTTTTTTTTTTTTTTTTTTCGGTTACTCATGAGAGACAAAAAAAAGTCTTTCAAGTTGTTGTGTATGAAGTATTGGTCAATGGCTAGATTTTTCGCGAGGGGTGACAAATGTTGGGAAGGTTCGTAGTAGGTATGAAATTAGCATGAATGCAGAAATTCAATATTCAATAGTTTGTTTGTGATAATTAACAACCTAACGCGCTTGTATTATCTTGACTAATCAAAGCATTAACCAAACATAAAGCAAATGACTGTTGAATTTTATTTTTGGAATTGTTAATTTGTGTCTAAATTCTATACCATGAAAATTCAAATTTTGATTTCTCTCCATCACATGATGTGATATTATATATAAATGCAAGCAATTTTAATGCGATATCTCTCTCTTTTGGCCAGTAAAGATTGACATGAATGATCTACTAAACCCTTTCTTGAAAACACCAACATTGAAATTTATGAGATAAGAGGTGCAATATTTTCAAAGATACCAATGTCCAATGGGACCCAATGGGAAAGGGTTAAAGAATCGAGGAAAGCCAAGGTGTGAAATGATTAACACCCTTAAGTAATGATGTTGATTGATTGTTTATTTGTTTCTTACTTCCACTAATTGCTGCTCCTCATTTCCGCTAATCAATTCACATTAATATTTTATCATCGTTGATAACCCATTTGATATTTGGTACGAGCTAATCAATGGGTCACAAGTAGGCCAATGACGAGAGTGGATCAAATAGCACAGAAGATCAAATGAACATTATTTGTCTACTTTTTTCATGACACATTCTATACTTGTGTCACTAGCCTCTGCTATGGTAGGTAGAGCAAGCATGGTCATCAACAAACTCATTATTTATGTTTGATTTGTTAATGAAGAGTTGATACCACAGAAGCTTGATCAACAAAACTAAACAGCCACCTGTATAGTGGTCTTATTTAATCTAGAACTTCCTGTTACACTACGATGAAGGAATCGATCGTTCCTTTGACTGACAAGCGCGGTATCCCAATTGAGAGTCGGTCGTTGACGTCAAAAAAAAGGTCGTACCTAGGATGCCCTCAAGACAGCGAGGATTCGTGCAGGAGGATACGCGTCGAGGACTCCACTTGAGTTGTGAGGGTCACGACGTTGAGAGAGCAGCCCAATCCAATCCAAATCAAATCCTGTCAACTCGAGAAAAGATACACAGTACCAACTGCCAAAGTTCAGGTCAGGAAATCAGGTAACTGGTAAGGGTGGTTAGCCTGACCTTGAAGCTGAAATCATGGAAACGCAACAGCCAAATCCCAGAATTTAGGGATAGAAGATGATCTCCTCAGGGAATGTAGATGAGGTCTCTCATATGTACAAAGCCTATAAATAGAGCCATGAGAATTCATTAAGTTTTTTACGCACTATTTTGCTACTCCTAGAAAGCTTGTAATCAGGCAAGTATTAGTGCATCCACAAGTAGACTAGGCAAAAAATTATTGCCAAACCACTATAAATTTATGTCTTATTTATACTTTCCTGCAACGATAATCCTCTGTTAATCCATGTGAGATTACTGTGAGTATTCTCAGAGTGTTAATCTTTAGTTGACAAAAATTAACCATCAACAATTGGCGCTAGAAGGAGGGCAATAAACCCAGGAATCAAATCCAGCAGTAAGCAGTGAACATGGCTCCGAGAAAGACTCACAGCATGACGGCAACCCAGAAAAGCCAGGTGGGCCAGAATCTTATCGTCGGAGGAAGGAATCCGACGAATCTGCCTAACGGCGGACAGGAACAAGCAGGAGTACAACCCAACCGCAGGAGACCCCCCAGACTGCCTTGACCAGCTCCAAAGGCAAGTCGAAACACTCGCTGTAACCGTAGAGAGGATGGTTACAGCCCTCGTTGAACGGGACCAAAGGCCAAATTTGATGCCGTCGTTGGAGGATGCGCCGATGAACCTAGCGAACGCCGCCGTCAGGAACCAAGTGATTGGTGACTAACGTGGTGACGCTGAAGGGGTCGGTGACAGTGGGGCTAAACACCTCTGCCCAGCCAAGTCGAATAGGTTTGTGGGGAGCAGGTAATAAGCTACCAGGAGGAGAGCCCAAGAGAGGGCTGCGGCCCAGACATCGAATAACAGAAAAGTGCCTCCTCGATCGCAAGAGAACGTGAACCAGAGAAACGGTGTTCCAGTAGAATCTTCATCCGTACGCGGAGGAGACCTGAAGGAGTAGTTGAACTCTCGACGCGATCGAAATGTGCAATAGACCAAGGAAGAAGAGCTCGCGGCCGAGAATAAGGCTCTGGCCGAGAAGATGGCCACACTAGAAAAGCAAATATGGAGTCGACTAAACAACTTTGAGCAAGTAGTGGGAAAGGTGGTCGAGGCCGTAAATGTCGACGTCAAGTTGCACACGTCCCATGATCACCTATTCACAGAGAACATCATTCAGGTGCCGCTACCCAATAAGTATAAGACGCCCCCTATTCTGTTATATGATGGAAGGAGTGATCCGGACGACCACCTGGAGGTCCATACAGGGCACATGGTCCTTCATGGGTACCCCGAGGAGGTAATGTGCTGGGCGTTCAGAAATCATCTTTCTGATTTCGCCAGGAGATGGTTTAGGTCCTTAAAACCAAACTCCATTACCAGCTGGGATGACTTGAAGAACGCCTTCTTGACTCAGTTCATAGGTATCAAAAAGTGCATCACACTCAAGTAAAACCTTTCAATGGTGTATCAGGGACCAAACAAGTCCCTAAAAGATTGGATAATCTGATTTGGAAAACAGGTGGTTGCCACCGAGGGGATCTCCGACGAGGTGGCTTTGATGGAGGCCCTGTCAAGCATGAAGAAGGACATCTCGTACAGCACAGACCTCGACCAGAGGCCACCACAGACCTACCAAGAATTCATGACGATGGCACATGGATTCATTAATGCAGAGGAGGCCAAAAAGGCCTTAAAGAGTAAGGCGGTTGTCCCCACCAAAAAAGAAGTAGGACAATCGAGCCATCAAAACAACAGCAAGAAGTGTCGAGGTAATCCTCAGGTGCAAACGGAGCAAAAGTATAATCCAGCCCCAAACAATAAGAGTAACAACGCCTCGACAGGGCAGGGGGTACCAAGCGACCCAAGCCACAAAAATATGACACCTACACCCCTTTAACCATGGGGATCGAGGACGTTTATCACGAGATTAGTCACCTCCAAGTACTGCGTCGCCCACCACCGCTCAAGTCTGACCCAGCGCATAGAAACCAAAGCAAGTATTACAGGTTTTACAGCGAGAGCGGACACACGACCACCGAATGTTTTGATTTGAGAGATGAAGTCGAAAGGCTGACCCGGGAAGGGAGGCTCAATGAATACCGAGCTGACCGACGGGGCAACAACAATCAGCAGAACAATGACCGACGGGAGGATCAAAGGCAAGACAATCCACCCGAACTTGTCGGTGTGATAAATACGATCTTTGGAGGGCCATATATTGACGGTACCTCTCGCCGCGCACAGGAGTACGCAAGAGAGGCAAAGGACATGAGTGTGTCCGGTAGAGAAGTGAAGGCCGCGAGATATGAAGAGGCTGAGATAACATTTTCAGATGCGGACGCAAACGGAGTGCATTTCCCTCAAAATGATGCTCTAGTCGTGGAGGCCATGATCAGTAACCACACGGTCTGTCCCATCCTGGTTAACAACGGCAGCTCAGTAGACATTCTGTACGCCGATTGCCTCGACAAGATGAGAATTCCCCGAACAAGACTGCAGAATATACACAACCCCTATACGGCTTCACCGGGGATATTGTCATCCCTGAGGGGATAATAGAACTACCAATGATAATTGGTGACCGACCACATACCTTGACGGTCATGTTAAAATTCTTGGTGGTGAAGGGAGGTGACCAGTATAATGCAGTCATAGGGCGGCCACCGCTGAGAGCATTGAAGGCAATCACATCGATCTATCATCAAGTGATGAAATTTCCAACCCCCAAAAGGATTGAAAAAATCAAAGGAAACCAGTATGAGTCGAGGCTCACATACTCAAAGACGGCCCGCCATTACGCTGAGTCGGGGTAGGCGAGAAGAGAGATGAGGATGGTGGTGACTGGAGCAAAGGAATTCCATCTAGATCCAAAACTCTCGGGCGAAGAGACAGGAACGAGACTGGTCGAAGAATTGATCGAGGTACCCATTGATGAAAATGAGCCGACAAGAAAGCTGAGAGTGGGCTCAGAACTTAAAGAGCAGAGCCGGGAAGGACTGATAGAATTCCTCATAAGCAACCCCGACGTGTTTGCTTGGACTCACGAAGATATGGAGGGGATAAGCCCAGACATAATATGTCACATGCTAAACATAGACGAGAAATGTCCCCCTAAAAGGCAGAAGCGTTGACCTATGAATGTCGAGAGGTATGAAGCTCTACGGGAGGAGGTCAACAAATTGATAAGAAACAACTTCATCCGGGAAGTTCTGTATCCCGGGTGGGTTTCAAATCTCGTATTAGTGTTAAAGCCTAGTAGCAAATGGCGAACCTGTGTCGACTTCAGCCACCTAACGAGGCATGTCCCAAGGACAGCTTTCTGCTCCCAAGGATAGATCAACTGGCGACGCCACAACGGGGCATAAACTCTTAAGCTTTATGGAAGCGTATTCTGGCTATAACCAGATACCAATGTTTCACCGCGACGAAGAACACACAACAGTCATCACTAACAGGGGCTTGTATTGTTACAAGGTCATGCCCTTTGGCCTCAAAAATGCTGGAGCAACCTATCAATGCCTGGTCAACATGATGTTTGCAAAACATATAGGGAAATCAATGGAGGTGTATGTAGATGATATGCTGGTAAAGAGCAAGGAGTACGAGTACCATGTAAGGGACCTCAAGAGAATGTTTGATGTCATACGAATGTATAGAATGAAGCTGAATCCCCTTAAGTGTGCATTCGGGGTCAACTCGGGAAAATTCTTAAGTTTTATGGTGAGCAGTCGAGGAATTGAGGCTAATCTAGAGAAAATACAGGCACTCATCGACATGAAATCAGCAAGAAAACCAAAAGAGGTCTAGAAACTAACGGGCTGTGTGGCAGCACTCAACAGATTCATCTCAAAATCTACAGATAAATGCATATTGTTTTTTGATACCCTGAGAGGAAGCAAGCCATTCCAATAGACAGAGGAGTGCGAACACGCGTTCTGATAATTAAAGGAACATCTTGGGAAACCACCTCTACTGTCCATACCTATGGCCGGAGAAGTGTTGAGCCTGTATCTGGCGGTTTCAGAACACGCCGTTAGTTTGGTGTTGATCCGTGAAGATAAGAAGGTGCAGATGCCAGTGTACTACACTAGGCGCCTCCTCGATGCAGAGACAAGATATCCGCAGATGAAAAAGCTCGTCCTTGCATTAGTGGTGACGTCGAGAAAGCTATGCCACTATTTTCAGGCCCATAGCATACAAGTCTTGACAAACCATCCTCTCAGGCAGGTATTGTAAAAGCTCGACGCTTCTGGAAGACTCCTTAAATGGTTCATAGAGCTTAGCCAGTTCGACATTGACTACAAGCCACGGATTGCCTTCAAGGGCCAAGCCCTGGCCGACTTTGTGGCATGCTCTGGAAATAAATATAGAAGGGGTCGAGTTAGTGCTTAATGGTCGAGAGGTCAGAAACAAAGTTCGAGAAGAAACATAAGCATGATCAGATCAGAAAGGCCCTAGAGTCTAGGATTAACAACATTAAATTCCCATGGACACGGAGATGGGAAAAAACTCATGCAAGGGTCCCTAGAACCCAGAAACAAGCCTAAGGACCCCCAGTAAAAGCGACTGAGCCCAAATGGACAATGCCACATGGACTCAGGCCCAAGTTCACGATCGACAACACCAAGTAAGTGCATTTTTTCTCCTTAACAAATTGCTTTTTGCAGGCATTAGTTCTAGAATCACGTAGAAGAAGCAACGAGACCGAAAACAACTTACTAGTTCTTGAGGAGGCCTGAAAACTTGGAGACGGGGGTGAACAACACACAGAGAAAGTACACGGAAACCGAAGTCGGAGAAAGGAACTTCTAGTGGAAATCCGGCAGAGTAACGGCGGCCTGTAAATGAACAGCCATAAAAGTGCTCCGGGGGGGTATATATACTCGGAGTGGGAGCCTAGATGTCCCAGGGAAATCTAAAGGACTCCAGATCTAGACCGTTGAATTCGATCCGCCTCCATCCAACGGTGAATCCGAAGAGGCGCGATCTAACGGTCGGGAAAAGAGCAGAGGAGGTGAATTTGATCGAATGGCTGCAACTCATCCCCCGACTGTCACGTGGCACCAGAGTATGGGAGACGTGACTCTTGACGCGATCGACAAGACTGATCCACTGCCCGAGAAACTCGCTGCAATGATGACACTGTACCGACAAGCAACCGCCACTATCTGCAGGGAAGAGATTGCAACGTGATACACTCAACGCTGCATAGCCTGAAACATCGCAACGCGGTATTCCAATCTAGGGGTAGTTGTTACACCACGGGTTCCTTTGACTGACAAGCGCCGAGGTATCCCAATTGAGAGTCGGTCGCTGACGTCGAGGAAAAGGTCATACCTAGGATGCTCTCAAGACGACGAGGATTCGTGCAGGACGATACGCGTTGAGGACTGCGCCTGAGTTGTGAGGGTCACGACGTCAAGAGAGCAGCCCGATCTAATCCAAATAAAATCCTGTCAACTCGAGAAAAGATACATTGTACCAACTGTCAAGGTTCAGGTCAGGAAATCAGGTAACTAGTAAGGGTGGTTAGCTTGACCTGGAAGCTAAAATCATAGAAATGCAACTATCAAATCTCAAAATTTAGAGATAGAATATGATCTCCTCGGGAAATGTAGAGGATGTCTCTCATATGTACAAGACCTATAAATAAAACCATGAGAATTCATTAAGTTTTTTACACACTATTTTACTACTCCTGGAAAGCTTGTAATCAGCCAAGCATTAGTACATCCACAAGTGGACTAGGCAAAGAATTATTATCGAACCACTATAAATTTCTGTCTTCTTTATACTTTCATGCAACAATAATCTTCTGTTAACCTGTGTAAGATTACTGTGAGTGTTCTCGGAGTGTTAATCTTTAGTTGACTAAAATTAACCGTCAACACTTCCTATGATTTATGATTCTGTCGATCAGCCGAATGCTAAAAAGCTTCTGATTTCTTTCATGAAACACTCAATCTTTCATGAAACACTCAAACGGCAGTGTCGTCATACCTTGAGTTGTAGCCGAGCGCATAGAGCATCACTAATGGGCCTTATTAAAAAATCAGAAGGAAGCTGTAGGAGATCACTTCAACAAACTCCGGCTTCATCTGCAAAGGCGAACTAAAGCACGTCCTGCTCAAGTGAGCTTCCATCCACAACTGTTGGACCCAAAAACTTCTCCAACTTGTATATGACGCACAAATTCAGAAATAAAATAAAGTATGGTCTCTAGTAATTTACACTATATTTCCTTTTCATAAGTTAGCTACTTCAATAAGCTATAATGTATCTTGAGTAACAAACTTAGAAACGGCATAAGCTATACAAAATGCATCACTAAAAAGGACGGCCATATGAACACATTAGAAGGCCTCGCATATATCCTACTGTATAGACAAAAAAGACCAATATAACAATTTTTCAAGAACCTCTCATCTAACTATGACGCTACAAGTTTCGTATGACACATTGAATAAAACCTACTAGCATCCAACTTTATGCAACACTGAATCCAAGGAGGATTTCTGTGAGGATTTGTATTTTCTTCTGATGATATTCCTAACAATTCGTCCATCTTCCTTCTTTTGAAAGTGTCCGAGGAAATATCCTCAAAAAACATACCCTGCAACAGCATCAACAACTTGACATCAATCTAATGGTAGTGGAAATGAAACCCTCTAGTTTCACAGTTAAATCTCTTTTACTTCTTTGTATAAGAAGTTATTTGAAGCATTACACCATCGTGGCCATTTAAGGAGGCATGGATTCTCGCTGTTGGATCGTCTAGGGTCAGAATGATCCCATTCCTACCATCAAAGCAAAATTTCTCCACATCGAAGGGAGAAACTGCTACCACCCGAACAACACATCTCACAGTAATTTCATCCTACAAAAATATGAGTTAAAGGATTAAACTTCTATGTCTTGCCCTCCAAAGTGATTTGGGGCTGACATGTCTAAGTCGTATTTATAAAGAAAAAAAGTTCTATCAGTTCCTTGACCATCTATTCTATATCCAAAATCAAATAAAGGTAAAAGAATCGGGAAACCACTAATTGTTCAATACCTCTGCTTGAGTAATGAGATCCATCAGTGTAGCAAACGGAAAACTAGAGGAATCTATCACTGAAAAGAAACAGAGGACAACAATATGTAATCAACAGATACATATATGCATATCTTTTTTTTTTTTTTTGGTTGATTTATATGGTGTCAAGTCATATTCATATAAACAAGCGGGAAACAATTAAAGGAAAAAAAAAAAGTAGTGGATAACAATAAGATGTTGTAGCGCCAGAACAAAAATGTTAAATATATATAGAATACTCTATGGATTACCGGTTAAAGCCGGGAGAGGATTACTCCAGAAAGGCAAACGACCCTCTTTTCCCAATCCACGTTCATCCATTGCCCTGAGAAAATCAAACAATAAGACAACAAAATAATCTATAGCAATTGAAACAAATTGACATGACAAAGAATGTGACCTTTTACATTCTAGGACAGTAGGCTCATTGTCAGGAAGGAACATGAGCTTAGTGGTGGGAAGCAATCTCCCGAGCCACAAACCAGAATGAGTTTCATACGTCATGTTACGAATCTTCACCCATTGACCCATTCCTTGAGCGTGCATGCTAATATCCACATGAGCCCTCACTCTTAACACAGATCCAACACATGGGAATTTGCGGAGGGTTGACACATTTAGGAGGCAGGGTGCGGGTTCAAGCAGAAGTGGGTCATCTTCCGCAAGGCTGACATACAATAGAAGCAACATTGTTACTCAACTTACAAGAGTTAATTTTCCCACAGAAACGTCATGAGAGATGAGACTGTAATGAAGTACATGAATGGAAATTTGAAAATGGCATAAGCAAGGAAAATAACGCGTATACTTGGATTCCAGGTGCAAGGGAGGGGCATCAGTTCCATCCCAAACAAAAAGCATCCAGTCCTCGGCGCCAACATTTTCAATATGTACAACCTTTTTTGTGCATAAATAAATAAAGAGGAAAAACGTAAATGAATAGCGTGGAAAAGGATAAACAAAACGAACAGTGAACTTAGGGTCCGTTTAGTTCGCTGATTCGAGTTTTTAATTCGAGTTGAGATGTGATTTTATGTGAGAGTTTTTTACTGTAGCAAAACTCGAATTCTAAACTCGAATCAGCGAAATGAACGAGTTATCCATGGAGGTCAGTTGGATGCTCACCTGACATAGGAGATCAAAATACTCGCTTCTTCCGAGATCTTTCAACGAAATAAGGTATTCATTCTTCTCTATGAAATAAAATAGCACAAAGAGAGAGAGAGTTCATCTCCATTTCAAACTTAAATCACTTGTTTGTTTGGTTTTTTCAACAAGTATTGGGAATGCAGCAGAAGTAGAGAAGAGCGTAGCGTACCAACAACGAGTTGATAGTGGAGGCTAAAATCGAAGATGCTTTGAATGTGAGTGGTGTCAATGGAATGGATATCGAATCCGGGAGAAGCTTGATAAGGAGTGGTGCAGTTGTTGGCGTTAGCTTTGGGATCAAACAGAGCAAATGATGAATACTTCTTGTTGTACACAGCATAGACATCGTTCCCATGTTTCTTAATCTACAGAAAACATTTTTTTTACAAAAGAAGAAGATACCTATTAAGTGAAAGAAAATGAAAAACGAGAATTACCACCCAAAAAAAGAAAAAGAAGAAAAGAAAAGGAGGAACCTGGATATGGGTGAGGAGAAGGAGGGGATTGGAGGAGCGAATACGAGGAAGATGGTGGATGGAGTTGGTGAAGACGTGAGCTTTCAACTTGGAGCCTAAAGCGTCCACGAATGTGAGCGTCAGCACATAATCTGATAAAAATCACAAATGATCACTTGTACGTCTTTATCTTCACATAAGAAAAATCCCAAAAATTCTAGGTTAGGTTAAATTGGCACTGACCGGAGCCGTGACTCTTTCTAGGAAAGGAAAACTCGATGACGAGGCCACCCAAATTGAAGAGAGTGGGGGTGCGAGACATTTCGGACGCCGCCAAGGCTTCTCTTATGGTGGTTATACGCCCCTCGTTCCTCATCGCCATCCTCCTCCTCTCTTCCTCTTTTATTCTCTTCTTCCTTCTTCCTTCTTCCTTCTTTCTTCTTTCTTCTACCAGTCAGTCAGTGTACTCTCGAAATGAAATGGCAGTGCCCTGCCTGTCTCTACGCCTAACTCCACGGAAATTTGATTATTATCCTTACTGATTACTGAAACTGAAACCTCAGCATTTATTTCTCTCCTCTCTCTCTCTCTTGATTATTATACTGAAACTGAAACCTCAGCATTTATTTGTCTTCTCTCTCTCTCTCTCTTTTTAAATTAAAAAAAAAAAAAAAAACAGTCGGACCTTCGTGCAAGTAGAGATAATTATACGACAAAATTGTATGGGCCAAACCTCTCTCTGTCTCGCACATTCTCATGTCTTTTGATCTGTGTCTCAACTTCTCTCTCCCTTTCCTCTTTCTCCCTCTTCTCCAAAGGCAGCATCGAACCTTCGTGCATGTTGCTGCCGATGCTCTCCCTTGCGCAACCTCCGAGCCTCCTTTGCCGTCGCTGTTTGAGCATTTGTAACAAAGAAAGAACAGAAGAATATGATTGAATTACTTTTTTAGTGTATATTATTAAAGAATAATGTACAAAATATATAGTCATATACAAGGAATCAATTGCTGCATTTTTTAAGACTAATAAACCGTCATCTATCTATAGTGAAATTTGACGCATACTAACTTAGGAAAGTCAACTAAGAAAATCAATTACATATATTACAATAATATTTCTTAATACTCCGTCTCAAGTTGGAGAGTGAATATTGTGAAGTCCTAACTTATTACACTAGCGTCACAAATTGATCTTTTCTCAAGGTTTTTGTAAATATATCTGCTAGTTGGAAGCGTGTGGGTACATATAAAGGACTAATCATTTCAGCTTGTAATTTTTCTCAAACTATATGACAATTTATTTCAATGTGTGTTTGTACGCTCATGGAAAACGAGGTTAGCTGCAATGTATAAAGCTGCTTGATCATCACAGAACAATGGTGTAGGAACTATTAGTGAAACTTTTAAGTCTTGTAAACTATAGAGCAACCAAGTCAACTCTAAACACGTGTTTGACATAGCTCGATATTCGGCATCTGCTGATGATCTAGAAACATTGGTTTGTTTCTTGAATTTCCATGAGATGAGTGAATTCTCAAGGAAGATGCAATATCCTGTAACCGATCTCCTTGTCGCACGACAACCTCCCCAATCTGAATCACAAAAAGCTGTTAACGTGAGATTTTTGGGTGAAGGTAACAATAAGCCTTGACCAGGAGTACCCTTGACATACTTGAGAATTCGTATGGCTGCATCCCAATGTGGTTTCTGAGGCTCTTGCATGATATGACTCAATGTTTGAATTGAATAGACTATATATGGTCTCGTGACAGTGAGATAAATTAGTCTTCCAACCAATCTTCTATATTTAGTCGGATCATTCAGCAATGCTCCATCTGTGGGAATTAGTTTCAAATTTTGTTCCATTGGGAATTTGTCTGGACGTGCACCTATAAGTCCTGAACCTTGCAAAATATCTAGTGCATATTTTCTTTGAGACATGAAGATACCTTTCTTGGAACGGGAAAATTCAATCCCTAAAAAATATTTCAAGTCTCCGAGATCTTTGATGTGAAACGCTTGAGAAGAAATTCCTTGAGATGCTTCATTTCTTGAAGATTGTTGCTTGTTAGAAGATGTCATCAACATAGATGAGAACTGCAATAAATGAAGTACCTTGAGCCTTTGTGAAGAGGGAATAATCAACTTTTGACTGTTGATAACCAGCCTTTTGAATAGTATCTGAGAAGGTAGAAAACCAGTTCCTTGAGGCCTGTTTTAGCCCATAGAGGGACTTGTTAAGCCGACATACAATTTTCTCCGCCTGTCAGCAAAGTCCAGGTGGAGGCTTCATATATACGACTGAATTGATCCAATTTTGATCCATGAATCCAATTATGTTCTTGGCTGTGAGAGCATGAATCATTGCTTTACTCCATGATGGATAATTGGCTCTGTTTAATTTTTGCTAGAACGAGCATATGTCCAGGTTGGTCAGAATGATGAACAAAGTATGGGTTTGATGGATCCATACCAGTATTAGTGTTACTGGTGTTCGAGTATTTTGAAAGGAATTTTTCTGATGGTGTTTGGCTTTCTTTTGACATTGTGTTTGCAGGAATGATATGACAATTTTCAATTGCGCCAAAAAGTGCTCTTGATATCATGTAAAAAAAAAAAAGAACAGGAATGTGATTGAATTGCTTTCTAGGTGTATATTATCAAAGAATAGTGTACAAAATATATAGCCGTATACAAGGGATCAATTGCTGCATTTTCTAAGACTAATAAACTGTGATCCATCTATAGTGGGATCTGACCCATACTAACTTAAGAAAGTCAACTAAGGAAATCTATATTACAATAATATTTCCTAATAGCATTTGCTCCTCAAACATCGGATCTCCAATCATTGCTGGCAGCCAAATCTATGCGGACACTTGCTTCTCAACTCTTGCTAGTCATCCATCCATACAGTCAACACAGGATCTCCAATCATTGCTGGCAGCCAAATCTCTAAGTGCCGCCACGTGACTCCATGGTAAGAGACTTGTTGGTGTTGAATGTTGATTTTATTATTGCATGTTATGTTGATGCACCGGATTTGGCTTGGCATTATAATAAAAGTTGGAAAGAAAAAGTCTTGGTTGTTAAATTCACAATTTTATGGAAAATGTATGTATGAATCCGTAAGTGGGATTGCTTGAGAGAGGGGGAATGAGGAGATGGTGATGGTGAAGTGAAAGAATAGAGAAGCAAAGAGCGGATGCAGCAAAGGAAAGCAAAGAACCAAACACAAACACAATACAATACCCCATTCACCAGTCCATTCCCCTAACAATAACTTTGTTCCCTTCTTCCCTATTCACCAGTCCTACAATTTATAGAACCCACACGAATGGAATTATTGACTTGCAGTCAGAAGAACACAGGAAGGAAGGGCACGCTTTTCCACTTCACATATTATTTGTCATTGGAATGGATTCATAGACGTAGAAGAATAAATAATCATTTGGCAAATTGGAAAAACCAACCAAACCCCCCCGTCTCCATAATCACAACAACAGTAAGATTCATTCTTCACACTATTTCTCACATCTTTTCTTTGTTCCAAATTTTAACATTCAAAAATAAAAAAACGACAACAAACCGAATCCATTGTTTTCTTGTGAAGCAAAAAATGATTTTCCATTTTTCATTGTCAACAACATTGAAATTTATTTTCTTTTTCTACTCACTTTTTTTTTTGGATTAAAAAAAAAGAAATGAAAAAAGAAAAAGAAAAAAACTATTTGTGTAGGCCAATATCAATAAATATCAAGGGGGTTGTATAGCAGGAATAGGGATGAGCTTCCGTTCAAAATCAAACACACTCTTCGCTCTCCTCAGCAAAAAAGCTCGCTCCTTCATCCGTCTCGCCTCCACTCCCTCCGCCGCCGCCGCCGTCGCCTCCGCCTCTTCATCCTCCTCCTCAATCGCCATGGAAGACGGAGCCCTCGAGACTCTCCAGACCAAGCTCTGCATCATCGGAAGCGGCCCAGCCGCCCACACCGCCGCCATATACGCGGCTCGGGCCGAGCTTAAGCCGATCCTCTTCGAGGGCTGGATGGCCAACGACATCGCCCCCGGCGGCCAGCTCACCACCACGTCGGACGTCGAAAACTTTCCCGGTTTCCCCGAAGGCATTCTCGGCGGCGAACTCACCGACCGCTTCCGAAACCAGTCCCTCCGCTTCGGCACCCAAATCTTCACCGAAACCGTCTCTCGCGTCGCCTTCTCAGGACCTGTCCCTCCTTTCAAGGTCTTCACCGATTCCAAGCTCGTTCTCGCTGACTCCGTCGTCGTCGCCACCGGCGCCGTCGCCAAGCGTCTCTCCTTCCCTGGATCCGGCGAAGGCCCCGGCGGCTTCTGGAACCGCGGGATTTCGGCCTGCGCTGTCTGCGACGGCGCCGCCCCCATCTTCCGCAACAAGCCTCTTGCGGTGATCGGCGGCGGCGACTCTGCCATGGAGGAGGCCACCTTCCTCACTAAGTACGGATCCGAAGTCTACATCATCCACAGGCAAGTTGATTATTTTGAAACAGTATTTTATGTTTCAGTTTCGTAAAATGATGAAACTTTTCTTGACTTTTTCTTAATATCATGATTAGCCGCCGAAAGATGGGAAATGACGATCTTTGACATTACATCTGTTCAATACTTTGATAAGTTCTGAAATTTTTACATCTTATTAGTTATGACTGAGTTTATTATATGTGTTAGAAATGTCGAAGATTGTTTGTGAAACTGTAAATTTGATGTATCCGTATGATGAATGTTACATATCAGTATGATAAATAGGGAAGTTTTGATCCTTTTCAACAGGAGAGACACTTTCAGAGCGTCAAAGATAATGCAGAAGCGGGCTCTGGAAAACCCAAAAATTAAAGTGGTGTGGAATTCTGCGGTGGCCGAGGCCTTCGGAGAGGGAGGGAAGGGAGTGCTGGGAGGCCTGAAGATCAAGAACCTAGTCACCGGGGACATTTCCGAGCTGAAGGTGTCGGGGTTGTTTTTTGCCATCGGGCATGAACCGGCGACCAAGTTTCTTGGGGGCCAGTTGGAGTTGGATGCGGATGGCTATATAGTGACGAAGCCAGGGACGACACAGACAAGCGTGCGCGGTGTTTTTGCAGCCGGAGACGTTCAGGACAAGAAGTACAGGCAAGCTGTTACTGCTGCCGGAACCGGTTAGTGATTCCTAGATGAATATTCAACAGAGATGTTTGACATGGATTAATTTAATTGATGATATACATGAATTAATCATTCCAATATTTTAGGTTTAAGTTAGGATGAACGTAGACTGCTAGAAGCACCAGTTCGTACTTGGGAAGACATTCTTATACCTAATACTAGGAGAGGGAGGGATAGACCAAGAATTACGTGGACCGAAATACTTAGGAGAGACATTTTAGATTTAGGCCTTCAGGAAAGTCTAATTTCGAATAGAGTTGTGTAGAAAAGTGAAATCTATATAGCCGACCTCAATTAAGTTGGAGTTAAGACTTGTTGTTGTTGTAGTCGATTTAGGATGTCTGAAATTTGCTCACGTCTCCGAAACTTGTTGTGATAGTGATACTAATGGACAGCTTGTTTGGCAAGTTGTTAGGGCCTCTCTTTTGTTTCTTTGATAGGAGTTTAAATTTGGATGGTCGTTTATCCTCCAAACTCTCGCTTTACCAACGGCTAGACAAATGTCGCTTTTCTTTTCTCGCTAAAAAGATAAGTCTGTTACTTCCCTTGGTAACAGCTAGATTCCATGGAAATGTGAAAAGTGGATGCATTACTTTCATTAGTCGGCGAATGTATATGTTTTGTGTTTTCTTGAATGTATACCATAGTAGCATCAGTCTTGAAACGAACTTTTGTTCGGTCATTTTTATCATAAATTTGAACAATAATAATAATAATAATAATAATAATAATAATTGGTGAGAAATGTTGGCAGGGTGCATGGCAGCATTAGAAGCAGAGCATTACTTGCAAGAGATGGAATCCCAGGATGGAAAGAGCAACTGACTATCTAAGCGATTCTCTCGGGGCCGGCTCTAAAGCAAATTTTAAAACGAGTAGTTGGATGGATGAACTGAAGAATGATTATTTGATATTGTTCAGAAGAGACACATCATGTGTTTACTTTTAGTTGATTAATGAATGATCATTTCCTTTACTTTCCTTCCCTTTCCTTTTCTTCCTTTGTCAAATGTCAATGTCAAAGAGTAGTGTTGTGTTGGTGAACAAGTTAATATGCTCCATCCCATCTACAGCAACCTAATGCTTCTTGTTGTTATTGGGATGTCATATCTTTAAAAACAAAAAAAACAAAATTTATTTGCGGCTTCTTGGCATTTTCTTAAAAAGAAAATGAAAATGAAGACTTTCCATTAAAGTAAAAAAGCCAAGCCAACAAAAAAAGAAAACAAACCTTGGGTCAAGCTGTGTTGAAAAGTACATGAACAAAAACACAAGTGTTTTTCTTCTCTTCCATTCAAGTGTTCAGTCATTCTCAAAACATAAATGCAGTTCAGTTGTAAACACGAACGGGTAGATACTTGGTTGTTTATTCAAGTGTGGGATTCTCTTTCTGATTACAAATCCATTTATACCTTTGAATTAGCGCTTGTAATCTCCAGACGTCTCGACTCTTAAACCCACAATGCACCCACAATGCAATTGCAGACGAAAATTAGCTCTTCTGGTTATTTAACTGTTGATCACCAACATGCTAGTGATATCGTACGAGTTGTACTACCTTATTGTTGATCCGTTAGATCTTGGAGGACATGGGAAGACACTGTAGGAACTTGGCTGTGCCGTCCGCTCTTTTTCGTATTTATGTTTTGTATATACAAATCATAAAGCCGTCTTAGCTCAGCTGGTAGAGCGCGTGGCTTTTAACCACGTGGTCGTGGGTTCGATTCCCACAGTCGGCGAATGAATTTTGTTACTTTTTATTTCCAGTTTTATTCTCTCTCATTGCACACATATATTTATATGCGCTCTTCTAAGTTTCTTTCTTTCTTTTTTTTTTTTCTTTTTTTTTTTGGGTGCTCGTCACAATTTCCAGGTACCACCAATTAGCGGCTTACTGGAATTTTGTGTGTGCGTGTGGTGTGTGTGTATAAGTATTGACTCATTAAAGTGCTTCCACTTTACTATAATGTAGTTTATTGTTGGGATTTTGTTAGCCAAAAAGCCAAAGGAAATTTGTTTGAGAAAATTTTTGCAAGTATTCCACGATAATAGAAAATTTGTCAACTAATCACAACAGAAGAAGCAGCCCCAAACAGTTGCTGTATAACGACTCTATTTCTAGCTCTTAGAAGTTAGAACACTAATGGTCCTCAACCGCCGGTTGTGATTTTGAGTGGTTTTGAGTCTGGAGTGCATCGACAAGTCTCGACATTACGAATGAGATCGTGTCTTCAGGCAAGATCAATCTAGCCATGGACAAGACTCCTTATAGCGGAAAATGAATTAAAAAAAAAAAAAAAAAAAAAAAAAAAAAAAAAAAAAAAAGAAAGAAGCAATGCGAGGAAGGGTGTTTGACAATCTTAGCGGAAATTTGAAGCTTCTTTCTTTGCGTTGGAAAATTGTCATCATCTGAAAACTGTAATTTGGTCTTGTGTATGATTTGCTCCGACTCTGATGATTTCTTTCTAAATTAGCAGGCGTCAGGAGAAACTCGAATGCAATCGTCCGCGAGAAAGTAGGAATTGGGAGAGACGCCCCATTTCTAAATTTGTTTGCCCGAGGGAATGCCTCAAACGAACTAAAGGTGGAGAGTGGAGGGAGAGCTCCTTTGGCTCAGGTGACATAAATATGACACACACTCCATCAAGTTATCAAAAATGTGCTTAAAAATTGCAAACAGGACAGAGCTAGAAGAAATCGCAAAATGATGGAAAGTGAAAATCCTGAAATGAGAATAATATATACGAAAACGGAGATTCGTTTACACTTTACACTAGCAATGAGGGAATGGCAGGGCAGAGTGGCGGCATAATATGTATATATAATTGTGTTCTATCTTTGATGATGTTGGTGTTGGATGATGAGGCGGTGAATAGCGGTGAGTCTGTGTTGGATGACATCCAAAGAGTGTTGAAGATGAACAACCCTCTCCCTTATCTCTCTCAGACGATCTTCCACAACAAGATGGTGATGATAATGGAGAAGACGAGGATAAGCGCATCTTCTCTCGCATTCCTTCTTCACTCCCATTCTCTTCTTCCTCTGCTTCTGCTTCTCCACCCACACCTTATTCGCCGTCCACCTCACCATTCTATTTCCTCTCTTTCTCTTTTTTTTCATAACCAAAAAAAAAAATAAATAAAATTAATTCCTACTGTGATTAACTAAATAATAATTAACATTAACAAAAATGCATCAATGCAGACGCAGTAAATGATAATAATATTTGATTATTACCTCCTCAGAGCTCAGTCTGAGACTCAGGCGGAAATGGAGTCTCTGTCCGAAACCCAAATGCCAAATGCCAAATGCCAAGTGCCAAGTGCCAAGTGCAGGCAGCGGCGCTCTTCTCCTCTTTACCTCTTTCCACAATCTGCCCTACAATTACACCACACGACAATACGAGATACAATGGAGAAGAAAAAGAAACATTTTGGGCTTGGGCTTTCTCGACCTTCTTAATGGCCCCAATATCTACATTGTCAGCCCAATCTTATAACGAGGACTTAACTCCATCATATAAATATTATTAGGGAAAATAGATATATACTCTTAGGAGTATATGAATCTAGAATTTTACTCACTTATATATCTTTTTGACTTAACTCCAGGCACGGCCCTGCCCAAGCACCTCGACCGTTCGACTGCTGAGGTCGACCGGTTCCTGCTCAACAGTAAAAAAAAGATCAAGCGAGATTAAGAGATAGAAAACACTATAAAAAGCTTATCTCCCTCACAACATTTTCAACTCTTCGACATCACTCTCAAGTCTCAACTCCTTTCACTCTCGTAACTCTATCTCTCATATTCTATCTTAAATTCTTAGCTTTCTCTCTTTCATTTACAAATTTCAATTAAATTGAAGACATCCCGAAAAAAATGGTAGTCTACTCATTATTTTTGTATAATATTTTATTATTTAATTTTTATTTACATTGTTTATTGTTTCTAAATATTTTTTTAACATTATTTTTTTTACAGAAAATAGCGGAATCAAGTATTCCTAATTTTACAGATCAACCATTTTATGATGATGAAATTTTAATGCACAACTTCAACCCTACTGATGAGGGTAATGTTCCGCTTGATGATCACTCGGTACACAACGAGGTTACAGGAGAACGTGCAAGGGGAAAAAGAATGTGCGCAGCTCCTACATGACAACATTACACTGAGGAGCTACAACCAAATCCAAAATTAAGTGAAATTGAAATGCATGTAGTTTGTAAATATTGCAAAAAAAATACTTTTCCAACAAAAAAGGTGGGGGTACAAGCCATCTCGATAAACATTAGAAAGCATGTCTACCATTACACCAAGGTGGTGGCATGGACTTCTGCCAACAATCACTTTCTCTCACAAATCAAGGTTTACAAAATTTTTCATATGATGCACAATATGCTCGTGAGGTACTAGCTAAATTTTTTACTAGTGCCGAATTACCATTGTCTTTTGCAGATAATGAAGCATTTAAAGAATTTATTCATACTGCATTTTGTCCACTATTTAAACAATATTGTAGGAATAGCCAGATGAGGCCAAGAAAGTTTCCAACAGATGTTCGACATAGGTGGAACTCCACCTACTTAATGTTGAAAACTGCTATTCCATATCAACAGATAATCACTACATATGTAAGCATCGGAGCAAGCATTTAGTGCAAGCAATCGAATTCTTGACAATAAGAGGAGCAGAATGTACCCGGATATCTTGGAGGGGCTAATGTGCGTGAAAGACTAGAAATATGCAACAAGACGAAAATAACATTATACAAATGATACACTTCTAGACTATTTTTCAAACTTAGACATAAAAAAATATTCTAGAAGTAATTCGGCCACAGTGTAATTTAAGTATCCTTGTATGCTGCACTATTTTTTCCTTCGCTAAGGTTTTGTTCCGATCTTCCTACGGGTTTTACTTGGCAAGATTTTTAACGAAGCAGTCATTTACTTGTAATTATTCATATTATTTCAATAAAATCACATCCTTTTGGGACGTATGATATATTTCCTTTTTTTGTCATTAAATATGATAAAAAATGCGAATCCAGTGCAATCTGGTCGACCGTTAGCAGAGAAGTAGTAATCCACCGGTCGACCGGTGCATGCTCAACGGCCATAAATTGGACCATTGAGCTTCAACAGGTTGAAAAGGGCCAAGGCCTGAGCTTGGGCTCGGTCCTGGATGAGGCTAGGGTTGGGCCTGAGGAGAGCCCTCAGGCCCGGCCCAAACACGGTTATTAATAGAGTAATATAATTATAATATGCATGGTTGCAATGCTTTCTTCTGGTACTGATTTTAGCACCTACTACCAAACCAAAGGCATTGAAAATAATTACAAGTAGCATGCGTGCATATTTAATAGTTTTGAGGGACATCAGTCTTGAATAATTGAGGACAGAGCATCAATGATTGTACAAGTCGCTAAGACTTTCGGGCCCAATTAATAGTAGTAACCTCATCATTTGATTGCACCAACATATATATACACATTATATAGACATATACATATATCTATATAACATTTGGACTGGCGGGTTGAATGATTCAGCCATTTAATCTCACATGTCCATTCCAAGATTAACGGTCAAGGATTGGCAACGGTATTTAACTTTGTGCTCACTTAGTGAACCGGTAACTTGTTAATGAAAACAACTCCAAACGACTTTGAATTTTCGGGTTTATTATTTAGTTTCCATTCTCTCTTTTACTTTTTTGTTTTTGTTTTTTTGTTTTGTTTTGAGTGACACGGGATAGTAAGAAGATGACGCCTATTACACGGAATCTTCATATATCCGACTAAGGAAACCTAATCCGCAACAACCACGCAGTAAAGGCACGCGATCAACTCATAAAAGGTATTAGCCAACTTTGATTAGTGAACGAAAGGTGAATCAATAAAAGAAAGTTAAATATCACCGGAAAAGAAGAGTAAAATCACGAGTTGAAGCCGCCCAAATCAAATAGGAAATTAATAAACAACTCGATGACCTCATCAACTATAAATAAAAGCATATCCGTACATTCTCATACACAAACAAGTGAATTCACGCTCAATTACACACCATTATTCTCTCTATATTTTCCAGCATTCCTCATTCTTTCATCACTTTCTTCTCTTTCCACAACTTATTGAACGACTTTTCAGCCACTATATATATAGTAGAATCACCGCAACCCTACAGAGGATTAGTTCTCATTAATGAGCAGATCATTATAAATTTTTGTGTCGTTATTGGGATCGTTTTATTTTATTTCTCGTTCACTAACATTCTCGTTCTCACAGCTATATAAATGGCAACTCCTAACTCAACCATTAATCCTTAATCAAATTAGTCGTATATTTTTACCCTCTACAATTATTCTTATAACCTGATTTCCAGAAAAGAATGATGCAAAGTAATACTAATAATGATAAGTTATATTTCAGCAATTACAAGCTATATCATGATTTCAGCAACTACAAACTATATCATGATTTACATCATCAACATGTTGAATCACGTGTGCGCTGTAGCTTGCCTATGATCAGGGACATACAGATAATATTAGTATATCTAATTGAATATGCATAGCTATTATAATTATTAATCCAGTATTAATCCAGTGCAATAATACAACTTCTAATGAATTATAATTATTCATGTCTAGTAACACCGGGGGGTTCGGGTGGGATAAGGTTTAGGGGAGGTTACGGATTTAATTATGTGTTGCATGAAAAAAAAAGATAAATTATTAAGATAATTGGATCGGTGCCACACACGACATATTCCAGTCATTTGCTTCATCATTAATTAATAATTGACTAATTAAAAAAAAGTAGGTAATATGAATTACAGATAAAGAAAAATCCAATGAATTATAATTGGATCGGTGCCACACACGACATATATATATAGCCCTGTAGGTTGGTGGATGAGAGATTTAACATCATCCACAAATTATTAAGCCCGACCTCTAGTTTAATCGTAAATCGCTCTTTAATTAATTAATAAGATAAAAGATAAAACATGTCTCCTCTCCTCTTTAATTAGTTTCTTCACCTTATTTAAGTAAGTTGCATATTTTTCCCACGTTTTCCTTTTTAATTCTCCTTTCCACTAAACAAGGCCTTATAGAATTGTAATTAGGTTGCACTAATAATTTGAGAATATGAAAGCAGAACAAAAGAATCAAATCACAAAAAAAAAAAAAAAAAAAAAAAAAAAGAGTATAATAAAAATTGTGCACCCGTTTTACCAATAGTGATAAGATGACATTATGTTTACGTTGAAAATAAGTAGTTTAATTAAGAGTAAAGTGTAAAAATATAGACTCATACACTCAAAAAATAAGTTTAATAATTTTTTCTTTATTTTATTTATACAGTATGATGTTTACATATGACTGATCACGTTTTATATGAATATATCTACTTTTACCTAATCAAGTGTAACTTGTCAGATGACAATATGTTTACGTTGAAAATAGATACCTTAATTAAGAGTAAAGTGTAAGATGATTGATTAATACACTCAAAAAGTAAGTTTAATAATTTTTTCTTTATTTTATTTATACCATATGAGGCTTATATATGACTGATCACGTTTTACATGAATATATCTATTTTTATCTAATCAAGTGTAACTGGTCAGATGATAATATGTTTACATTAAAAATAGATACCTTAATTAAGAGTAAAGTGTAAAAATATAAACTTATACACTCAAAAAATAAGTTCAATAATTTTTTCTTTATTTTCTTTATACAGTACGAGGTTTATATATGACTCATCACGTTTTACATGAATATATATATATCTCTTTTTATCAGATCAAGTGTAACTTGTTTGACTATATCAATTATTATATATTGTAAGGTTGTGAGTTGTAACCAATACCATATGTGGTGATATGTTAGGGAGAGCGAATTAGATCCGAAACCCAATCACGTTCATATATATATATATAAAAGCACACAGTACGCATTCCAATTTCGATCACCACTGACAATCAAGATCATTAATCATGGAATCAAGATGAAAGAGTCTAGTCTCCAAGTTGGGTCCCATTTGCATATGCCCCAAAAGCCACTAGTATGGAAATAAAGTAAATAAATTGGATGGAGATTGGAGATGGTGGGAGCCTTTTGTCACATTTTTGCACCATGTTTCCAAAACACAATTATTTATTAGTATTAATAATGTGGAATACAACCACACAAGTGTCAAATTTGTGTACCAGTCATGTGCATGTGTGTTGATTGATTGGTTGATTGTTATATATATATATATATATATATATATATATTGTTATGATTGATCTGATTATTTTCTTCTTTGCCTTTTTTTCGTTGCGGAAACTAGAAAATTGGTCTTAAATCTTAATCAATCATCAAAATAATTACCCAAAAAACTGGGCTTGTCATCAATTCAAGGCCCCCTTTTTTGGTCCATATATATATATATATATATATATATATATTGTTTTGATTGATTTGATTTTTTTTCTTCTTTGCCTTTTTTTCGTTGCGGAAAATAGAACGTTGGTCCATCTTAAATCTTAATCAACCATCAAAATAATTACACAAAATATCACGACACAACCTAACACAACACAACACAATTAGCTAGCTACGTTTTCCTTCCATCTTCTCTCTTAATTACAACTTTTAATGTCGTTAGTCTTAATATTCCACTAGCCTGGCAGTGGCACCTAATTGTTCCATCTCTTTAGTTATTTGGTTTTCCCTGATCTGCCCCATTTAGCCTCATTCACTCATTCAATTAGATGCATTCATATATATATAAATCATCCAATAAAATCTGGTTAATATAAATCATTTTCAATTTCATCGATAGCGGGGAGAAAAATATATGGTTGTCTTGTAGCTAGGCGAAAATAAAGTAGGTAGGAGAATAATGCCAAAAAAATACGTAAATGGCTGCAGTTGGGGGAGGCGTATATGAGTGATGACAAAATGGAAGTACCTTCATGGTTACTTCCTTTCATGATCCTATATATATATATATATATATATGGTGAAAATATATCTTATGATCTAGTGTACGCTCTCTGTAACTTTTCATGGGTTGTTTCCCTAGTGCAAGCTTCTGGTTATCTTATGTTTTGATTTTCTTACGACTCTTGTATTTTATTTGGAATCTTATAGGTCGTATATAATATATTATGCCAAAATGACGGTTGCTGTTCTTCCCAGGACTTTCCTCCTCCTCTTCTACTGCTACTAGTACGTACGTACGTACGTACGAGTATAGTGTAGTCATACAAAGACATTAAAAGTCTCTAATTAGAAGAAGACGTGAGTAAAGCCAACATTATAAGATTAAAGGCTGGTTGGTGTTTGTAGAGAGTTGAGATCGATCAGATTATTGTGAAAGGAAGGCTAAAACGAGATATTCAGCAAAAACAAAAAAACAAAAAAACAAAAAATGGGGTTCTTCACATTATTAGAGGTGGCATCGATGCCCATTTTACAAGTTCTGATTGTGGGCATGTTGGGTGCGTTCATGGCTACTTCCTACTGGAATCTTCTCCCCGCCGATTCTCGAAAGTCCTTGAACAAGGTGCTCATCTTTTCACCTTCACATTGTTACATCATATTTTTCAGCTTGTCAATTAATTACCATTTTTGCAAACATTAGTTTTCTTATTAGAGGAAATGAAAAAAAAGAAGAAAAAAAGAAAAAAGAGGGGTCTCATAGTCATGGTTAGTAAATTAAACGTCAAATGTTGAATACAGATAGTGTTCGCGGTTTTCACTCCTTCGCTCGTTTTTGCTAGTCTGGCCAAGGCCGTCACACTTGAGGACATTATTTCATGGTAATGTTTTTACTAGATCTTTCGCCATATTCATTTCTTAGACGTCTAATTATTTTGTTTTTATCATTATAACATCAAACTGGTTCTTGTCTTGATTAATTATACAAGGTGGTTTATGCCTGTCAATGTCGGGTTTACGTTTTTATTTGGAGGGATTCTTGGATGGATTCTGGTTAAGATATTGAGACCGAAGCCTCATCTTGAAGGCCTCATTATTGCTACTTGCTCCTCAGGTACTCTTTTTTTATTATTTATTTTTGGATGTTTTCTTATGGCAAAAAAAAAGAAAGAAGAAAGATTGATGAAAATGAGTGAATGTTGAAATAGGAAACTTGGGAAATCTGCTGCTTATAATAGTGCCTGCAATCTGCAAAGAAGATGGGAGCCCATTTGGCGACAGCCAAGTTTGCAGCACTACTGGTCTCTCCTACGTATCCTTCTCTATGGCGGTAATTTTTCAATTCCTAGCTCTACCATAGCCTTAGCTCTTTTCTTTTTTTTCTTTTCATATCATGCAATCACACGCTAATTAATTGCGGTTTGCAGCTTGGTGGTTTCTTCATCTGGACTTACACTTATCAGCTGATCCGAACTTCGTCTACCAAACATAAAGCAGTGGAAGCAATTGAGGGGGTTCCGAAGACTCCCAACAAGGACTCAGATGCTGACCACCAAACCCACCTTCTTAAGCCACAAGATCAAGACCATCTCGAAGATATTATAGTGGCACCAGCCGACTACATTGGAGTCGCTACCAAAAACCAAGCTGTTGTAAGTACACTTGGGAATACGGATTCTAAAGGAAGGCTGTTGTATTCAAGTCTCTTCTGGCCCACTACTATACTAACGATCGGAAGTAAAAACGGCATTCACATTTTCACAACTAATAATGCCTGCAGATTGTAGCTGAAGAACCAAAAAGCACATCATTTTGGAAAAGACTCGAAGAAATTCTCGGCCCGATAAAAGAGGAGTTGTTGGCACCTCCAACGCTATGCACGGTGAGTCCCTTACTCCTTCTCTTTCGCATGTACTGCTACTGCTAGACAAGGCCTCTTTATTATAGTCACCATTCACTCATTAGTCTAAAATCTACCTAGTTTGAGATTGCCTCTTCTAAAATCTGTGTGGTCAGATATTGGGGTTCATCTTTGGAGCGGTTGAATGGCTGAGAAATCTAATAATTGGCGACACCGCCCCATTGCGGGTCATCCAAGACTCGGTTCAATTGCTTGGGTAGGTACCAACACTCTGTTTCGGACTCTGTTGAATTATGCTGGTTTGTTTAGTCATTAGTCATTAGTCATTAGTCATTAGTCATTGGTCATTAGACTGACCCGAGAATCAAATGTGCAGGGATGGAACAATTCCTTGCATCACCCTTATCCTAGGAGGCAACCTCACTCGAGGTAAAACTTCCACGGTCCTAATATGCATGTGTTTTCTTTTTCTTAAAAGTAAAATACAAAGTTATCATCATCACCCATGTGCATTACTGCATCAAAAATGAGCATTAACAGTGAGTGGCCTTGGAATGACCATAACAGGGCTACGTTCGTCAAAAATCAAGCCACTGGTGATCATCGGAGTCGTTTGCATTCGGTACATTATACTTCCAATTATTGGCGTTTGGATCGTAAAAGTAGCAAACCATCTAGGGTTTCTGCCACCGGATCCCTTGTTCAGCTATGTCTTGATGGTTCAGTTCACCCTTCCCCCCGCCATGAATATTGGTGAGCATCCCCATCTCTACTGTAATTTTGGTAATTCCTTCCTTTGAGAAGTCAAAAACAAGACTCTCATTAACGCTCTTTTGCAACAAATGCAGGCACCATGACTCAGCTCTTTGATGTGGCTCAGGAAGAATGCTCAGTCCTTTTTCTGTGGACATACCTGGTAGCAGCTCTAGCACTCACCTTTTGGTCCACCATCTACATGTGGAACTTGTCTTAAATGAAATCCGCTAAAGAATGCCGACAATCACCGACCACGAAAAACCAAAACAAATGAAAAAAGAGAAAAAAAAGGAAGAAAATAGTATAACATCAGTGTCGTTTTTGTCAATTTTTTTTTACTGTTTAGACGCAACGCTTGCATGGATAATATCATAGCTTGATATAAATTTAAGAATCCCTCCTAGTGAAGTTGCTTACATGGTAAGTTCAAGAATCAAAGTAACTCAATCCAGTTACATAAAGCCGTACAAGTTTCCCATAATGCATATTTTGAATTGCAAAATTCCTTCACCTCAAAAACTCCAAAACAAACATTACTCTAGCTCCTGGTCCAGACAACCATTCAAAATCAATCTCTCATCCGAGAGTCAGGACATTGAGACACGGCGTTGAAATTCTAAACAAGGGTAAGCTGGAGTTTTGGCCTATTGGGCTGGGGCTCCACAACCTCCAAATGAACTGTAACAGTCTGCAGAACGCCAAACGAAACACTACCGTCCATCTTTTTGATCTTCTGCTCCTGCTCATCTACAAACCATTCTCCACCTCCCTTGTCACCTTTCTGGGTCAAATATACGGGCCCTTCTATACCGTACCTGCATCCAAAAGAGGAGAGGAAAAATCAGCCTTCAAATGCATATTTTTGTAACATAAACAAAATAGCGCAACTTTAGCCACAGATGGACATACTTGGGAACGAAGACAATAAACCCGTTAGATCTTATCTTCACTATTCTGGCCTCCGTGTCCGTGGGCCTGCATGAGCAAAATATTCCATGCAAATGTGAGCAAGACAGACAGTTAAGAAATAGAGACAACAGGAGAGCTAGAGAGTAAAGAGGACCAAAAAAAAAAATGTACGTACCGTTTTCTGAAATAGATAACAGTGTGGAGCTCTACTGAGGCCCGACTTGCCATCTGAGCATTCCTGTGCCGATAATTTAAATCTGAAGAAAATTTAAGAGATGCAAAGTCACTTCAAAGCTCAATATACAGTTAACCAGTTAAACAATCTACCATAAACCATGTCTGCGGTAATATAAATGATAGTAGAACGAAGTTTAACAGAATATATTCCATACTGTCAGCAATACTGGTCAATTGGGGTCTGTCTTGGAATATCGTGGGCAGCTTGTATATCCCCAGAGAGGCAGCAAGCAACCTGTGTACTATAACATCTGCAAGAAAGAAAAGTCGTGTATTCAAACAACAGTGTACTCACGACCAAAGTTCAGTACCATAAGATGAGAATTGTTAGAGACCTGCGTATCTTCTAATAGGAGAGGTGAAATGAGTATATAGAGGTGACGCAAGCCCGTAATGAAGATATTCGGGAGGGCTAAGATCCCCACTACAGAAATAAACTGCCTGGATTTAATACACGGAAAAATAGAATTAGAAAATTATTGTGCAAGATGAGTAATATATACATATATATATATTAGTGAAAGAAAATTTAAAAAGCTACTAATGAGCTGGTCAAATACCTGTGTCATGCATCTGGTAGCCAATATTCGGATCAGCTTATTAAAGTATGGATCATCACCCTGGAAAACATTAAAGTTTTCAGTAATATACCGCGTCATGAATAGCACATTGAATATTGATATAACGTCTTTTTTTTTTGCTCTAAAAATAAGATACTACACTTACCACAGCACGATCAAGTGAATCAGCGAGTGCTTTTGATGAAGAAACATCCAAGTTGAGACCAACAGCAGCAGCTGTACGTAGCAAAGGTTCAAGCATTTCTCTAGTTGGAGTAGGGTGGCGCCTGCAAACGCAAACAATTAATGAGCACAAAGAACATAGTGGCAATTCAATCCTTGTCATTAGATGTATAAATCTAATAAGAGACTGTTCTGTAGGAGGAAAACAAAACTAAGGCCCCGTTCACTTCACCGATTCGAGTTTAGAATTCGAATTTTACTGCAGTAAAAAGCTCTCAGAAACAGTCACATCTAACTTTTTTATTACAATAAAATCTCTCACATAAAGTCACATCTTAACTCGAATTAAAAACTCAAATCAGTAAACTAAACGGGCCCTAAATGAAAACACAAGTCGAAATCTGTAGTTCACCTTAACAAAGAACACACAGGGAAATGATTCAGTATTTTTTCTGCAACTGAAACATTAGCAGCAAGCATGAACTCCTCAACCATTTGGTTTGCCTCCCTAATCTGGTACATACCTGCAGTAACAACATAGATTATAATGCTATTTTTTCTTTGAAAAAACAAAATTTTAAACCAAATTCTTAACTTGGTAAATAACCATAAAATGAAAACAAAGGGAATGTAAATAACAAAAGTTATCGACACTGAAGAAGAAAAGGGACATGATTTCTATTTAGCAGAAGTTAAATCTCAGGGTTATCAGTAAAACAAGCTGATTTTATTCATAGAATTACCGATATCAAGTGGGTCATGTGTCTCGGTGTCAATTTGAAATTTGACTTCAGCAGAAGCAAGTGTTAAGGCTCCTCTTTCAATACGTCTTAACCTCATAATCTGTGCAGGACAATATACAATGGCAAATTTATTCTCAAGTCACAAAAGATGCAAATCACCCTCATTTATCCTGTGAATGGCTAAATCTTAGCTTGAAATGTGAATACCTTTGCTAACGAATTCATGTTTCTTAAATCTGTGGTTAATGGATCCATCAATCGACTGCAGATCATATGAAAGCAATTCGAAGTTTCAATACAAAAGTTAATAAAAAACAACAAAAAAAAAACTTTTAAAAGGGAAATAGACATGCGTCAAGATATTATACACAGCTCAAACAGTAAGAGGAATAAATTTCTATTCATATGTCATATTATTGGATAGAAAACCACCTGTCGTCCATCCTCGCCTGAGCTTCAATATAAGATAATGCTGCACATGATTTTATCACACTCTTTGTATATTTTGTTGAAATAATCTCTGCTTCAGGTGTCATTTCCTGCAAAAAGTGCAAAGAAATAAATAAGCACAAGTGAAGGAATGTTCACATATACACACGGGTATGTCTAGGTAAATCCACAAACTCATAAACAGAAGTATGGAACGCAGTGTGGGGAAAGAAGTTTGCTACTGTGGCAGTATCTTAAACACAGCATAAGTGGGCGTCCAACACCAGGCAAGGACCATGAGGGAGAAAGAGAGGAAACTAAAATGCACCAACCACAAGGTCCAATCTGATTAAAAACATTTATACAATAAAAGTTCAACATAACAAATTGAGGTAGTGAATACCCATAAGACTGAGAATGCCAGTCTTTCCACATCAGCTCGAAGAGAACATATATCTGCCAAACAAATTTACATATGTGTGAGCAAAGCAACCGACCATGAGAGTGGTCAATCCTTTTATGGAATGATACAATTATAACCCAAGAGAGAGAGAGAAAAAAAAAAAGAAAAAAAAAGAAAGAAGAAGAAACTAAAAATAAAGAACCTTACCTTCTGTTAGAGGTTTAGGAAGCATGTCAATCCGCCGTTCAACAAGGTACACTGATGTGCCCCTTTGTGCAGCCTCATCGTCAAGTGGGGTGCCCGGGTGCACAAAATTTGTTACATCAGCAATATCTAGTGCGTATCATTAAGGTTGAACCCTTCAGGCCAGCGTATGCTTTTTACCCCCACTTATAATAGAAATATTAAAAGGAACTATATAGGAGATAATAGGATTAGTATTTGGTTTCTGAAAAACTTAAAAAAATAAAGGATTACTATTTGGTGAATAAATCTCACAATACCAAGCATTCTAGCCTACAAAACTAAAACAAGTAATTTTCGCTGCATTAAATTCTTGTCAGCAATAAAATGTAACGAGCTACAAAGTCAACATCTGAACTAGAATCAAAACCTGCATAATCATCTAAATGCAATGCCTGTATCTGCTCATAACATATTTAGTTTGTGCTGTCTGTGAATTTGCATGAATTAACATGTACACCAACACGGAAATATATACACTATTTAGAGGATACGGACTCCAACTTCAAAATTTCCATTTGGAAGAGGCATACAATGCAGGGCATCATCAATATCCTTACATCCTACACGAGCCAGAAGTGAAGTATATCAATTAGTATTTTCATATAACAAGTAAAAATTCGCCATTACTAAATCACTTTGCATACCAGGAGGGTCCACACTAAAGGCCCGCAAATGTCGAAGATCCTGCCGAATAGGATTCAACAAATCTTCAGAAGACACTGACCATGGTAAAGGAGGCAAGCATGCCAAAGTTTGAGAAGAAAATGGTCGTGAGTTTATATCATTCTCAATCAAGACAACCTGCAGAATGCACAGGGGTAAATCGGTTTGTTCCATCTAAACTTCACTAATGTCGTCCCAAAGGCTATGGTCTCAAATAGTTTTAGTTTGACTTGAAAAGATTAACGGTTACTGAAAAAAACACATATAATGGACCCATCATAACATACCTCAGTTTCAGTATCTCTATCACCTATTTCTCCTATCGTCCGTACATAATGCCCAGAAGGGTATCGAGATAGACAATCCCAAGAATCAACGGCCACAATTATTCTCTTGTCCAGAAGATTCTCTAGCTGTCGAGTTTGGATTCGAATTTTTGGAATTCTGCGATCTTTTGAGACAAACAAGGCGTGAGCAACACCACCACTACCTGCAGGCATGGGCATTGGCTCCAGAGATCCACAATAACTGCATGAAAATTAGACTTCACGTTATGCTACTGAACCTATACACAGAAAAGTCAGCTGCGTACCCAAACTAATGAAAAAAGCACGCAAGGCGCAGAATATACAACAAACAAATACTCTTTCGTTACACAGCTAAATCAAGAAACCAGGGTAAGCAATATGTTATTTCCTCATGTATGCATGCGTGTATGTAAGAAGTACAATGCTATTACAAGCATTGAAACCAACCAACTGCATAAACGTTAACAGCTAAACCATTATTTGGGGTACTGTAAAGCTTGTAATGTTTAGTTGTATTATATACGGCATTGACTAGACCTTTCTCGATTTAGGGGAAAAGGAGTCAAATTAAACATAGTAAGAACTCAAGGTAACTCACGAATGCCAGTTCCTCTTGATAATACCGACGACACGACCAGATGGACGAGAAGAGGCAGGAGTTGTTTCTCCAGAAGAACCTTGAACTTGGGAAGTAGTTCTAGGAGCATCATCGGCACTGCCTGGAACTAGATGAACATCTTCTTCTTCCTCATCCTCTACAAGGAAGTAAATTAGAATTCACAATAACTAGATAGGCACGGATTAGAGAGAGTATAAGAATAACCATCTTCCCCGCACATTTATTCTACTATGCTCCTAGGCACCTTCATTTTTTCCTTACAAGCTGCAACAAATCCTACTATTCAGAGTCTAAACGTTTCACAGAGAAATTTCACAACCTCCACTTGTTCACTACAATTCAGGCAAATAGTACAGGCTGAGTAGCATCCCGACTAGTACAGAGGTGACAGGTTCCATGCTAAAGTAAGAGAAAAATGCATGGGTGGCAATTACTTAACACTCAAACGAAATATGAAAAAATATAAATTAAAAAAAAAAAGAGTAGAAGAAACGCATAAAAGATGTTCTTTTGGAACATTTCCTCAAGGAAAAATACACGAATAAACCCTCTTTACATTTAAGCAACTTCTAACCAAAGATTGGACCCTTTTTTTTCTTTAATTCTTTTCCCATCCGACTCTATAGAAATTTTCACGTATAAAATTATGTGTCCTGCACTCCACCTCTGAGGGGGCTTTTGTCAATTAGCACATACCTTCATCTGCTATAGACAGAGCTTTCTCCTCATGCCATTGATCCATGGGCAAAAGTTCCACGGCCACTATATCACCATCGAAAGCTCTATTCATGTTAGAGCGCCCATAAATTATTATTTCATCACCAATACTCTCGCTCCCAACATAGGCTTCGAACGGGTTGTAACGGTTAACACGAAGTTTTCCTTGATGATATATACCACGGTGCAAGCCAGAAGTAATCTCCGACATGGGCTTGTGCTGGAAAGGGTTGGAAATGATGTGAGTATAATAAGCAATTTTGTTCAATGGAACTTGCAAGCCAAAAGAGTGCTGGGAAGGAATTCAGCATAAGGAACCTCTGTAAAAATGATTTTCCTCTTGGAGGGTCTCAAGTCTTCAACATCCTCCATGGCCATGTCTTCAGATGCGGGATGCACAAGCAGGTCAAGCAAATCAGGTCGTCCCAATGACTTGACATACGATTCAACTGAAAGCAACATAATAATACAATTCAAACGAGTTTTATGACAGTCTTTTGATTTGATTTCGATCGAAATTTTAACAGTTTTTGGTTTATAGAAAGAAAGTTTATATACATACTTGTGTCGGCGGAAATGCCGTCTTCAATAGCCTTCCTCTTATTGTCTCTGTCATTGGTGATGAGCAGAACCCGAGCCGCGGCACCGAGATGAGTTTGATACCATTGGGCAGCCACCCGAATTGCTGCTCTTAAATGTTAGAAAACTAGACTAAACTAAACTAAAGAATGGAAATGAAATTTGCAGATGGATAAATAGATAAATAAACAAAGAAACCTCTGTCATTTCGGTCATTTTTAGTTTCTCCCTCCATTTGTTTAACATATGTATCCCTGCAAAGATGAGTCATTTCGTTGGTACGAATGCGAAAATGTTCACATGAAAGTGAAAAGGGAGATAATATACTTGTGATGCTCATTGGAGAAAACGAAGAATCTCCTGAGAGGGTTGGTGGAGAGAGCCCTGAGTCTGTTGTAGACGGACAAGTTCCTGTTTTTGACCTCTTCGAGAACAATGGAGAGCAGAACGACGTCGTCAATGGCGGGATTCTCGAGCAAATCAATCTGACTGAGTACGACGTTGGTGTCGAGAACGAGAATCGGAGAAGAAGAAGAAGAGAGAAAGCGAGGGTCTTTTTGTTGGCAGAGTTTGCAGAAAGATGCGCCGCAGAAGATGTCATCGCGGAGATAGTGCTCTCGCACCACCTGATTATGTTATCAATTTCATTCATTAACCCTAAGACGACTAGCAGAAAGAAAGAGAATCCATAGAAGAGAAAAAGAAATACTATTTACTAGTACTAGGGTTTAAAAATGGAGATTGAAGATGAAAGAAGAAGCAGAAGTACCTTGGTGACTCTTCCGGTTTTCGATTTCTTCACAAAAGACTTGCTTTGCAACATTTTCTCTCTCTTATAGAGACTGCTTTTGCTATTCGTTTCTCCAACAACTGAATCTGTCTCTGTCTATATATATATATATATATGTTCGATATAATAGATATTGGCATGAATCAAAAATCCAAAGTCCGCCGCCAAAAAGCTGCTGAAGATTGCTTCTTTACTTGCCTGCTGACTGCTCGCGCTGAAAACGCTCTCTTTGTTACCAACATTAAAAAAAAAAAAACAAAAAACAAAAAAACAAAACAAATTGACAGAGATAGGAGAGATACAGAACAGAAGAGAAGACACATAATGGGGGACAACGCAATTCTAGAAAGTTGTGGAGTGGATTCTTTAGTTTAG